AGTCTACCGCGCTCGCTTCCCTGGAAACTACCGATCGTGAATTGTGGCATAAGCGTTTTGGTCATGCGGCTCGGAGGACCCTTTCTCACTTGCCGACACAAGTTGAAGGTGTTCCCCCCTTGCGACGCAATAAAGACCAGTGCGGCATGTGCGATGGATGTATGCTTGGAAAACAGCACAAGCATCCGTACCCTGCATCAGAGAAACGTGCTAGCAAACCGCTCGAGCTTATCCACACTGATTTGATGGGCCCCTGGCCTACTCAGTTGTTGGAAGGTTCACGCTACACAATTTCGTTCTACGACGATTTCTCGAGCTTTGGCATGATGGTGTTCATTAAATCAAAGGACCAAGCCTCTACTGCGATTAAAAACTTTGTTGCCCTTACAGAGCGTCAGCTTGGCACAAAAGTACTGGCCTTCCGGTCAGATCGTGGAGGCGAATATATGTCCGATGAACTCACAGCCTGGCTCAGTGCACGTGGTATTATGCACCCTAAGTCTGCGCCACGCGAACCACAGCAAAATGGGAGGTCTGAACGTTGGAATCGCACAGCCTACGAGAAAGCGGAATGCATGCACCTCGATGCTGGCCTATCCAAAGGCTTCTGGCAATGTGCTATGGATGCATCTGTCCACGTTCATAATAGACAACCTATGGCACGATTGGGATGGCGAACACCTGCGGAACTGTGGCTTGGAAAGAAGCCAGACGTCTCTTATTTCCGTGTGTTTGGATGCAAGGCGTCTCTGTATGTGGATGTTGAAAAACGCCCGAAAGGGTTGGAGCATGGACGCCCCGACCACATCTTCGTTGGATACGAACGAGAGACAAAAGCTTGGAAAGTGTGGGATCCGAATCAACGCAAGATACGAGTCTCTTCAAATGTTGAGTTCGATGAGCGAGTATTCCCTGCCAAGTCCAAGCTAGTCACCGGCAATGTGTCCTCTGGACCGGAGCCGTTCACACCATTCGAGGAAACCTTCCCTGACCTTATCAATAATCCTGCGCCTGCAACGCCTTATGCAAGCATACCACCTCCTGCTCTCCCACCGCCACCGGTGAAATACTGAGGGCGTGCTCACAAGTGAATCTACTATGAAAGTAAACCCAAATATAAAACACGTTCACACTCCTCGTAATCAGCTTCTCAGTGTGTGAAAGATGCGAGGGCTTCGGGGTGGACAGAGCACCAGTATCACAACTCTCAATAGACGCAGATCCAATAGTCGCGGAGACGAAGTCGACGACAAGAATTTATATATAGCAAACAATGGTGTCTCAACCAATATCTTCTATACGAGCACAACCAACACTAATCCAATCCACAAACAACAATATAACAAGTCAGAGCTTAATACGAAGTATTAAGATCCCTTGTAGCGACAACGTCCAGATGGCGACGCGAAGCTCAAATATCAAGTCGACGCACTGCCAACCGATACAACCAATATACTGAGTCGACGCACTGCCAACTAGTAAACCAAAATGTCAAGTCGACGCACTGCCAACTGACAAAACCAAAAGTACTGAGTCGACGCACTGCCAACTAGTAAACCAAAATGTCAAGTCGACGCACTGCCAACTGACAAAACCAAAAGTACTGAGTCGACGCACTGCCAACTAGTAAACCAAAATGCCGCGTCGACGCACTGCCAACTAACAGCCAATATCCAATGTCCAAAACCCGAGCACAACTTGTCGACGCACTGCCAAGCAAGAAGTGTGGAACCAAAGTTCTCAAGTCGACGCACTGCCAACTGACCAAAACAACCCGAGCACAACTAGTCGACGCACTGCCAAGCTAGAGGTGTGGAACGATCTCAACAAAGCCCAAAGGCGACGACACTAAATGCCGCGACTAAACCAGATGCGGCGAATCCGACTTTCTGATGTCTCAACTCAAACTCAAATCACAGTAGCTACAAGTGCTCAGGGAGCAACTCGTCGCGACCGGGCAGGGGTAGCAGAACTTCTTAGGGTGGAATCACGCGACACGCAAATTGTACAAAACAATCTGAAATGAGAGTGATTCACAGTCCGGGGAAAAGCTTCCCAATACAAAGAAACGACGTGCTACTTATACTGTCTACGACGCTGCTTAGTAAAGTCCTGTACAACTGCATAGTAGCTACGCTATCTAAGATCGGTTGCCTTTTAGGGTAATTGAAAAGTTGAACGATCGGACAGGTCCTGAGTGATCAGGACCCCGCCCCATTGTCCATATGATACTTTTGATGTGGGTCAACCCACCGCGTCATACTTTTGGAATACGACGTGTTGGATTGGCCAACGGGTATGTCTTGGCAAGTGAGACCAACGTGGGCGCCCCAAGAAGCCGTATGGCCCTAGGCACACCAGTCGTCCCCCACATGGTTCGGTTCACGGATCTAGCCGTGTCGGTTTCTAGTGTGTTTGGGTATGGACGCGACTCGCCGTGACACTTGGAAGTGTCACCGCGACGCGTCCACAATGTCCCGTGATCGAATGGATCCTGACATGTGACAAGTCGTCGTCGTGGCATGATCTGAGGAAACGTCCAACTCAAAACCGGGAGTTGCCGCGACAAGATGGTTTAAGTCTCGTAACGCCAAGTCCTGTCCAGTAATAGTTCTATTATTGAGAACGTCGCGCATTGCTCAGCCCTTCAGCCCAAGTTCCCATCTGCAGAGAATGACCCTTTTTCGAGAAGTCGACGCAACGACAGATCCCTTTTTGGGGAATGGTCGCGGTCCAAGCGTTCGTCACTAATGGCCCTGAGCCTGGTGTAGACCCATAAGACCAGTTCCACAGTAGTGGTCTGACTGCCTTGCTATCGTCGACACTATCCACAGTCGTCGACTGGGCAGTAGACCCTTAAGTCCTACTGAGCGCAACACTGTCAACCGCGACACGATACACCGAATGGTTCAAGAGTAAACTCTGTAAAAAGCGCAAAAATACGCCCTTACAGAGCTGGTGCAGAGCGCGTCTGGTAGCCAGCCTATCACCGGCACCCCTCGCGCAACAAGGTCCTGTCACGGGATCGTGAGAAGTACCCCTAATGCCTGGCCCAATAGACGATCGCCCGATTGCCCATCGCCGCCCTCGTCGGAATAAGCCCCGCATTATGCCAGATGGAACTACGTATCAGAGGCCTAGCAGCATTGAGTCCATGTTGTCAGCTGCCCAAGCTGAGCATGACTTGCCTCAAAACGTGCGGGATGTAGCAAAGAGCCCAGATGCACTCAAGTGGGAGCGCGCAATGCGCGAAGAACTGGACTCTCTCGAGGAAAACTGTACTTGGGATTTGACCAGCCTTCCACGCGGTCGAAAGACTGTCAAATGCAGATGGGTGTTTAGCAGGAAGCGTGACGGTCGTTTCAAAGCACGACTTGTTGCCAAGGGATTCACTCAGGTTCATGGGTTTGACTATGATGAGACCTTCTTGCCAGTATTGCGCTATGAATCTTTGCGCATACTTATGGCTCTGGCTGCTCTCGAAGATTGGGAGATTCATGCCATGGATGTCAAAACGGCATTCCTAAACGGGGATCTGGAGGAAGAAATCTATATGGAACTTCCGGAATTACCCAAAGGTTTCTCGTCATGGCCAAAAGAAAAGGTGGCACGCCTTCGTAAATCACTCTATGGGTTGAAACAGGTGTCTCGTCAGTGGAATATCAAAATCCACAATGCCCTCCTCGAACTTGGTTTTGCTCGGACATACTCCGACGCCGGTGTCTACACATATCGCCAACAAATGGGAGATACGGTCATCATCTTGGTGCTGTATGTTGACGATATGCTCATTATGGGCAACAATCTGCCGGAGATAGCGCGGATCAAATCATTGCTCGCGAACCGCTTCAAAATGACAGATCTTGGTCCTGCAAAGGATTTCCTTGGTCTGAACATAGTTCGTGATCGCAAAGCGCGTAAAATCTGGATCGATCAGGCTTCCTATATCGAAGGAGTTCTAGAACGATTCCGGATGTCTTTGTGTAAAGAAGCTCGTACTCCCCTGCCTTCCGGCATCGTGCTCAAGAAGCATGATGGAGAAGTTGATGAAGACCGTTGTACCCGATACCAGCAACTGATTGGCAGCCTTCTATATGCCATGCTTGGTACTCGCCCCGACATTGCCTATGCAGTCATCCGTCTATCAAAATTCAACAGCAACCCATCAGAACATCATTGGAACATGGCAAAATACATACTCCGGTACCTTCAGGGCACCAAAAACTACCAACTTTGCTATGATGGTTCCACTGGCGCAGGCCTTATCGGTTATTCCGATGCTGATTGGGCAGAGAACAAAGACGACAGGCATTCAACCACGGGATATTCCTTCTTCATCGCCGGTTGTGCAGTGACCTGGGTTTCTAGATGCCAACCCACGGTCGCTTTGTCCTCAACAGAGGCCGAATACATGGCTCTGAGCGATGCTACGCGCCAGATTGCCTGGATCCGCACTTTGTTGACTGAGCTCGGATATGACTTGCCATCCACGCCTCTTTGTGTTGATAACCAAGGTGCTATCTTTATGGCAGTAAATCCAGTTCATGATAGGAGGACAAAGCACATCGACATCCGCTATCACTTCGTACAAGAATCCGTCGAAGCTGGCAATGTCCAACTTTACCATGTGCCGACTGATGCGATGATCTCTGACACGCTCACAAAGTCTTTGGCATGGGTGAAGTTCCAACAACATCGGCTGTCTTTGGGTCTTCGTGATCCGACTGTTTAGTCGAGTGGGAGTGTTGAAGCTTGTTTGTATTAGCGACTATCACAGTATGTAGACATGACATCATAAGTAGTATTCTTAGATTACTTTGGCTCGCTCCACAATGACCCCATACCTGACATCATTATTGCGTCATCCATTATTCATCTATGATATCATTACTCCACTATGACATCATGATATCTGCTCCAGACTGGTATATAAACCTAGTACTATACGCTCCATATCCTCAGCTCCTGTGTCTCTACACTCGCTGAGGTATGCATTCTCTCTTACGATCTAATGACCTTTACTTATGACTTGTACCATAGACTCTGTCTTCTAGGTACAGCTAATGATACAGCTCCTGTGTCTCTACACTCGCTGAGACTCTGTCTTCTAGGTGATCGCTACTGGTCGTATCTCCACTGCGCGGTATTGTCTGCAACAGAATATGCACAGCGCATGATATGCGCAGTGCATGCTATGCACAGTGGAAAATGCACGATATGCACACCCAAAAATATACGCAGAATATGCGCAGCGCACGATATGCGCAAGTGCGGGCTATGCACAGTCGAAAGATGCATGATATGCACCACAGGAAAGGCGCAGAACATGCGCAAGTGCAGGATATGTGCAGGTGCAGCCTATGCACGGTTGCAAAATGCACGATATGCACGACAGGGAGGGCGCAGAATATGTGCAGCGCAGGCTATGCACAAGTGCAGGCTATGCACAGTCGAAAGATGCACAATATGCATGCTGGAAAATGTGCAGGCTATGCACCGTCGAAAATGCACGATATGCAGTCGAAATATGCACGATATGCACGCCGTAAAAACGCAGGATATGCGCAGTGCAGGCTATGCGCCGTCTAAAAATGCACAGAGTGCAGGGCAGGAACATGCATGATATGCACAGAAGCAAACACACTGGAGATGCGCAGCAGAGATCATGCAAAATATGCAGAACAGTTACAACTCACTAAATTCGAAGTAATTATTGACGCTATGCGGCCCAGGCCAGCGGCTGGGTCAAGACCAACGGTCCAGAATGAGCTGAGACCATAGAATGTCCCTGCAGCGTTGTTAGACAACGCCAGGAACCCAAAAGAACGAAAATATGCGATAATATCGCACCAAGTGCGATTAAATCGCAGGATTTGAGCGCCCAATGAGAGAGGGAGGGAAACCCAAATAAGCGTGCATCTGAAGCGAAGAGGCATTCACAGCTTGCAGGGTATGGGGCAGGGAATTTCGTAGCGACTGGGCGGCCAGAAATCGAAGGAATGGACTGGTATTACTGTCTGGAAGATCAGGGGGGTCGGCAGCTCGAAGTGGGCGGAAAGGGGAGGGTTCTGAAGGCTGGGGGATGTAGATGGGGTCGTTCTAATGCCAGGATCGAGTCAACGAGCAGTGTATATGTCGAGCTCCAACTGTGAGAAGGGAGGGAACTACTCAGCTTCGTGAATGGAATTGGGGTGTACCCCAGAGACACTCTTATTTAGCATCCAAATTCGAGCTTGAGATGGATTCCGTAGTGTACAGAGATTTCTGCAGATAGTGTCGAGTTCTGGGTGATAGTCAGTCATATAGAAGCATAAAAGACTGTGTAGAATGAGCGCAGAAATGGGAATTTGTCGAGGATGAGATCGCCGGCAGGTGGGTGGAAGGAGAGAGTGAGCTCACAGCCACCCCCTGCTCTTCGGCTCTCTCCCTCACAAGATGATGCATTGATCTCCTTCTCTCACTCAATGCATCCATATTTCTGGGTGTGCATATCGTGCATGTTTCGAGTGTGCATTGCTTGCACTTGCGCCTATTGTGTGCTGCGCATATTCTGCCTATTTTTGGGCGTGCATATCGTGCATGTCATGCATGTCGTGCCATTTTCGACTGTGCATAGCCTGCACTTGCGCATATTCTGCGCTGCAGCTATTCTGCGTCCTTTCTGGCGTGCATATTGTGTATTGTGCACTGCACATATTCTGCGTATTTTTGGGCGTGCATATCGTGCATGTCGTGAATGTCGTGCCATTTTCGACTGTGCATAGCCTGTACTTGCGCATATTCTGCGTCTTTTCTACTGGGCAATATCCTGCGTATTTTCAGTGGGCATATTGTGCATTTTTGATGGTGCATGGCCTGCACCTGCGCATATCCTGGTTATTTCCGGCGTGCATATCATGCACTTTTGATGGTGCATAGCTGCGCATGTCCTGCACATTTTCTGGCACGCATATTGTGCATTTTTCGACTATGCATAGCCTGCACTTGCGCATATTCTGCGTATTTTCTACTGGGCATACCATGCATGTTTGATGGTGCATATCCTGCACCTGCGCCTGTCATGCACTGTGCATATTCTGCGTATTGTGGCGTGCATATTACGCATTTTTACACTGTGCATATTCTGCGCCTTTCCTGTGGTGCATATCATGCATTTTTCGACTGTGCATAGCCTGCGCTTGCGCATATTGTGCACTGTGCATATCCTGTGCATTTCCTGCCATGCATATCGTGCATTTTCGACTGCATATTGTGCATTTTTCGACCGTGCATGGCCTGCACTTGCGCATATCGTGCGGTGCGTATATTCTGCGTATTTTTGGGCGTGCATACTGTGCATGTTTCGACCATGCATAGCCTGCACTTGCGCATATTGTGCATTGTGCATATTCTGTGCCCTTCCTGTGGTTCATATCGTGCATTTTGAGTGTTCATAGCCTGCACTTGTGCATATTGTGCGCTGCGCATATTCTGCGCATTTTATGGCATGCATATCGTGCATTATTCACTGTGCATAGCCTGCACTTGTGCATATCCTGCATATTTCTTGTGGTGCATATCGTGCTTTTTCAATAGCCTGCACTTGCACATTTTGTGCACTGTGTTTCTCCTGTGCATATCGTGCTTTTTGACAGTGCATAGCCTGCACTAGCGCATATCCTGTGTATTTTCTACTATGCATATTGTGCTTTTTGTCAGTGCCTAGCCTGCGCCTGCACCCACGCATATCATGCACTGTGCACATCCTGCGCATTTTCTGGCATGCATAGCCTGCACCCATGCACATCGTGCACCGTGCATAGCCTACACATTTTCCAGCATGCATGTAGTGCATATTTCGACTGCATATTGTCCATATTTCGACGGTGCATTGCCTGCACATGCTCATATCATGCACTGGGCATAGCCTCCACATTTCCGGCTTGCATATTGTGCTTATTTCGACTTTGATTGGCCTAGAATTGTGCATATCCTGCATTTTCTGCAGTGCATGTCATGCATTTTTGACAATACATAGCCTGCATCTGTGCGTGTTGTGCGCTGTGCATAGCCTGCACATTTTTCGGCGTGCATATCATGCATAATTCGCCTGCATATCATGCATTTTGACAATACATATCCTGCACATGCGTATATTGTGTACTGGGCATAGCCTGCACATTTTCCGGCATGCGTATTGTGCATATTTTACTGACACACAAGTTGCGCTGCTTTCTTTGGGTGAGCCGGCGTTGTTCTGGCTGGGCAGCACATTTTGGGGTCATCCACACCCCGCCGGCTTTGCGCCCTGGGCTCAGCTCCCACACCCAATCACACTACTGTTGTGCAACACAGTATGTTTTTTGATGGAATGTCTGGCCAGCAAAGGCTCAACTGAAGAAGATGATCCATGTCGAACCCATTAGTACTGACATCAGCAGCAAAGGAGTGGCATAGTTGACAGGGGACCGAGTCTTCCGTTATCACGGGATCCCTTGCAAGATCATCACCGACAGGGACTGACAATACATCAAGGGCTTCATGAAGGAGATGAACCAGATGTTGGGCATGGAAATGAACCCGGGGACCGCATATCACCCAATCACGGGTGGACAAACAGAGCGCATGAATCAGGAGATCGAGCACTATCTCCACATTTACGTCAACTATCATCAGACAGACTGGTCGGAATGGCTGGGAATGGCGGAATTTGCTTATAATGACAAAATGAACACATCTACCAAAATATTACCCATGGAAGGGAGTGGAGCAGCAGATGGAATCGAGGAACGAGTTGGCAGAGGAATTTGTGAAAAGAATCAAAGAAATACAAGACGAAGCAAAAGCAGCACTAGAAAAAGCAAATGAAAAAATGAAAAAATACTACAATAAACAAAGAAAAGAAGTTCCGGAGTTGAAGGTTGGAATGAAGGTGTATATAGAAGGGGACAATATCGAGACGGATAGACCATCAAAGAAGATGAGCGACAAGAGATTGGGACCATACAAGATATTGGAGAAGGTTGGAGTGGCTGCATGAAAGCTGGACTTGCCGGACACAGACCAAAGACACCCGGTGTTCAACGAGTCACTATTGACACCCTATCACGAACCACCCCCCCACCGCTGGGAGAAGAGACCCGTAGCCAAGATGATCGGAGGAGCAGAAGAATGGGAAGTCGAAGAAATCGTGAAGGAACAAAAAGTCGGCCATGGGAAACAGTACTTGGTCAAATGGAAGGGATGGCTGCATAGCAAGAACACCTGGGAACCATCACGTCACCTTACCCACGCGAAGGACGTCCTGAGAGACTGGCAGAGGAAACAATCCAACCCAGACACACGCATTCACCTCCTACCAACTCTCGAAGCTGGACACTGGGACTATCTTATTCATCGCTATAAACCCAGGGATGAGCGCCTCCCATATCCCCAACAACAACTCTTTGACCCTTACGAGAATGTCTTCACACCCATTGGCCTAGTCAATGAGGACATCGACCCTAGAGAGGGGGTAATATCATAGTTCGGCCACTTTTTCATCTTATCTTCTATCTTCGACGATCTTATCTTATCTCGACACGGATTATCTTATCACGGATCATGGCATCAGACGGTCTGGGCTAGGGGTTCCAGGGATTGTCTTTATTGATTCGAGGCTGCACGACATATGCTCCGGAAGGTTCTACTACAACCCATGACCAGTGCTCCATGCGGTACATAGCCCTATGACTCATTAGTTGTAGATATGACTCAGACTGGACTTGGGTATAAATACTGTAGCTACTTGGTTGTATTCTCCAGTCTTCGAATTCACTTCCCTTTTTGACATTATTTCTTGTTGATTGTCACAAGCGGCACTCATGGCAAGTGGAAGACAGGTCCGACATTACATGTAAATAACGTACCACCTCAGTTACCACCGCCAACCCCCCGTATAGACCCCGTGGGGGTACAGGGGGCAGCTGGCCATTTTGGGGCAGGGGGATGGGCAGGGGTCAGGACGGGGGTCAGGACGGGGGTGCCCATACATACCATGTGACTTGTCCATAAGAGTGGGCAGCTGGGCGGGAAAAAAAAATCAATCACATGATGCACCAAATGGGCAGGATGGCGGGAAAATCACGTGATGAGCTGCAGGAAAAATTTCAAAATAGCGGGGGTTGGCAGGGGCATTGGCGGGGGCGCTACTGCCCCTCCTGCACACTGCGGCGGGCAGTGGGCACATTATCACGTGACTTTTTGGGGTCCCTTTTTGCACCATTTGGCATGATTTTGGAGGTGCTGCTTGATAGATTGCATGTTGTGGCAGACAGTGGGCGCAAAATCACGTGATTTTCCGCCAAAAAAAATGGAAGCCTCTCTAAATCATCCCAGTATAATTTCCATAGGTAAATACACTAATTGACCATGCATTTGAGCTTAGAAAACCCCAAATGCACCCTGCACAATAGGATTGTTGATGCGCTTGATCCCATCATCTGGTGGGGTCTGCCGCAGGGTCAGTCTGGCATATTCTATATTTGACCTCCTTTAGCAGTAGCAGTAGTGCTGCTGACCACCAGGGCAAGAATACAAACATTTATGAAATATCTTATCAAGGTAGACAAAGCCAATAGGGCAGGTGAAGATGTGTAACTGGATATTGCAATTGATGCAGGGCCCAGTGCGGGGTCTGGTGCGGGGTCTGGTGCAGGGTCTGATGCGGGGTCTGGTGGGGGAGCAGGGGCAGCGGTGGATTACACAAAATTTTGATGTATCTACTCTGGCTAGGGTTGTAGAATGTCACGTAACTTTTCTCTATTTTGGCAGGGAATGGGGGATAAAGATACACAACATTGCCTGCATGTTTTGGCTGGGTCTCCAGGTCAAGTCATGTGATTTACCAATGTTTTGGTGGGGGGTAGGAGATTAAAGCATGGTTTTGCCAGTACATTTTGGTGGAGTTTGTGGCATCAAAAGGTGCTAACATATTAAAAAATGCGCAACCACATGTGTTCAGCAAATCCCCCAAGGGGGTTGTCCAGTCACAGCTACATTGATCAGCAGGAATAGTCATGGCTACTGCTCCACTTCCGAACAGCTGAAGTGGTCCTCCTGCTTTTTAAGGATACCTGCATCTCCAATGTTTCCCTCTCTTTAATAGCATATTTGACGCAGGTGTTACAAGCATCATTTGCTGGATTGAATATAACCTGTGAACATTACATTGAGACACTGTAATGGGTGTGCTAATACACAGAACCCTGACAAAGAATTGCACAGAAACCTTGTGAATACAATTCTTGCAGGGGATTGGGCGGGGTTGACTGCGGGGGTGCGCCAGCCCCTGCTGGCTAATCAAATGTGGAGCAACTAGGAGAACACACATAGAAACACATTCCCATGCTTTTATACTGCAGGCCAAGCAACTTCAAGGTTACCTCTACCCAATTCCAACAAAACAACTTGACTGCTCTTGTTTCTGGGCAACAATTGATTTTACCAGCTTGGGTGGGTTTTGCACATATTCCAGTGAGAACAGAGGTTGTCTGGTAGGAGGTAGGAGACCGAAACATTGTTAGAAACCATATTCAAGATGACCAGAGGCTCACATCTCTTTAAACTGGCCCATATCCCACATTATAAAATACACTGTACTTTGGATTTATTTTGTATTTTTGAATTGTTACAGGGTCCAGCACTCCCCAGACTTTGTTCAGGCATTGCCAAAGGGTGTATCCTTCAGCTGTGTGAAGTTGGGCCCTTGCAGAAAATATATTTTGCGCAATATGCAAAGTGAACCATGTTGAAGTGTTCTCTATATGGGAACATTGAGCCACTATGAGCTGTTTCCACGTTTCGAATTTCGGGCTGACAGAGGACATGAAGTGGCATCATATTCAACAAGAACAGCATAGGGAGACATAATTCTGATGGTTTTTAGCTGCATATATGTAAAAGCAGTCTCAGAAGAGCAAAACATAGTTAGGTACAATGTTTATACAGGTTCTGATTGGCTACTGACTTGATGTGTTCTGGGCTGTCACTTTACATAATATTACATATTTGGAGATGGCAGGGGCTGAGGCACCGGTGTGGCGGGGGTGTTGGCAGGGGTCAATCAGTGGCAGGGTAGTTGCGGGGGTGCTGGCGGGGGGGCGGGGGTGAAGGCGGGGGTGCAGGCAGGTGGTCATGGCTGGGGTGGGTAGAGACTCATTGGTAAAAACAATCAGCCATGTGTTTGCAGTTGGTCTTCCAAAAGATACAAGCCACAACACAAGTTGTTAAGAGTTTACATGTCAAATTTGCACTGATTACCAAGCTCTGACTATTGTGGGACAACTTGCCAGTAAATACATCCTCTCACATCACACCAAGTAATGAATATAGTTCACCTTAAATCCACTCTATTTAATGAATTCATGCTGAAACCCAAGCAGATTGCTTGCAAGGGAACACACAACTTTCAAACCTCAAGTGCATTCAGCCAGGAAGGGGGGGATGAGATGTGTACCTAATATGTTCTATTACAAGCTCCAAAAATGGATACCACTGTGCTACACATATATATTAAATGGGTAAAGCGAACAATCAATGAGTGGAGTGTGGACCCTGGTCTGCCAATTTTACCATGCCACCTATCCTGCCAGCCAAAAAATGAGAAAATCACATGTTCTGCTTGATTTCAAATGCCATGGATTATATAGGTAACATCATCCATTAATCTCTTACCCCCCACCAAAACATTGGTAAATCACATGACTTGACCTGGAGACCCAGCCAAAACATGCAGGCAATGTTGTGTATCTTTATCCCCCATTCCCTGCCAAAATAGAGAAAAGTTACGTGACATTCTACAACCCTAGCCAGAGTAGATACATCAAAATTTTGTGTAATCCACCGCTGCCCCTGCTCCCCCACCAGACCCCGCATCAGACCCTGCACCAGACCCCGCACCAGACCCCGCACTGGGCCCTGCATCAATTGCAATATCCAGTTACACATCTTCACCTGCCCTATTGGCTTTGTCTACCTTGATAAGATATTTCATAAATGTTTGTATTCTTGCCCTGGTGGTCAGCAGCACTACTGCTACTGCTAAAGGAGGTCAAATATAGAATATGCCAGACTGACCCTGCGGCAGACCCCACCAGATGATGGGATCAAGCGCATCAACAATCCTATTGTGCAGGGTGCATTTGGGGTTTTCTAAGCTCAAATGCATGGTCAATTAGTGTATTTACCTATGGAAATTATACTGGGATGATTTAGAGAGGCTTCCATTTTTTTTGGCGGAAAATCACGTGATTTTGCGCCCACTGTCTGCCACAACATGCAATCTATCAAGCAGCACCTCCAAAATCATGCCAAATGGTGCAAAAAGGGACCCCAAAAAGTCACGTGATAATGTGCCCACTGCCCGCCGCAGTGTGCAGGAGGGGCAGTAGCGCCCCCGCCAATGCCCCTGCCAACCCCCGCTATTTTGAAATTTTTCCTGCAGCTCATCACGTGATTTTCCCGCCATCCTGCCCATTTGGTGCATCATGTGATTGATTTTTTTTTCCCGCCCAGCTGCCCACTCTTATGGACAAGTCACATGGTATGTATGGGCACCCCCGTCCTGACCCCCGTCCTGACCCCTGCCCATCCCCCTGCCCCAAAATGGCCAGCTGCCCCCTGTACCCCCACGGGGTCTATACGGGGGGTTGGCGGTGGTAACTGAGGTGTAACGTACATACAGGCAAACATGGCTATTTTCTATGTAAGCTAGCGGTGCTTGAAGCTGAAGCAGAATTGTTGTGCAAAGCAGCTCTGGGGCTGCTTCGCTGATTTAGGCTCGATTCTAGTGTTGCCGCGGTCTGGTTCAGTTTGGTCATTGCTAAATTTTTCCGGACCCAAAACCGGACCACTGGTTTGGTCCAGGGATTTTGCTGGACCTTGGACCGGACATTGAGTCCGGTTTGTTCAGGTTCAGTCCTCAGGTTTGAACACGTTCGGACTTCGGACCCCAATTTATATTGTGTCAGTAACTTAACCATATTCTGATTGATCTAAGTACATCAATACAAGCTCTATTCAATGAGAAATACATTGTCGTTGTCACCATCCAAGACATTTAGCTCAAATTCATTCACAGCATGAGCACGAGCCTCGTCACTTGCTGCAATATGTCTGTTGTGGTATCCACTCTTCAAGATCTGGAGCGCTTCAAAGAGCTTCGGAGATAAGCGGTTGCGATGCTTTGTACCCGTCAGTGCCCTGCTGGAGAATGCCCGTTCAGACGCAGTAGCCGAACCCTGAATGGCAAGGTAGTCACGGGCCATACGTGCCAAAGTTGGAAACCGGTGCATGTTCAACTAACAAGGGAAGTCAAGTAGAGGCAAAATAAGAAATGCGAAGGATTACATACCCCCCACCACGCAACAATATCGTGAATCTCTGTGTCCTCTAAAGGCAACGGGTCCGACAGATATGATCTAAGTTCAGCACAAGGATCACGAATTGCACCATCCTCATTGCGGTGAGCCTGGATCATGCTGCGCATCCAACTGTTGCCATGCTGGGTGGGACGTAAAGATGCCAAAGCTATAGCCAGTAATCAGAACCTTCATTAGGCAAGGGACTTGTGCGCAACTTACTATTAGCAGTACTTACAACAGAACCTGCAGCAACCGGACTGGCTTGAGTGAGCGAATATTGATCAAACTGGATAACAGGGCGTAAGTAAAATAAATAATATACACAACGATCTCACTTACCGTGTTATCTAATGCGTCCAGCCCAGCTTGGTATTCAGATGGGTCCCATGCGGTTTCGAAGTATGCCGTCTTGTAGTTCAGATCAAGTACTGGTAAAATTGAGTAAGGGGCACAGAATCGAACAAGAACACGAACCCATACAAATGAACAGAGCATCATTATCACCGATATGATTGTACCGCTTGTTGATATTATCCAACCCCGCCTGAATGGATCCTTTGATCTCCTCAAACTTCTTAACATTGATCATGTTCGTCCATCTCTGGTGCACTTATTCGAGGAGAGGAATGGTCTTGTACACAGTAGGTTGACGAGAGCTCGAAAAAGCTTGTTGGATGGTAGCCGGTTCCTATTGAATCCCATTTAATTGCAAACAAGGTACAGCACATGTGTAGATAAATTATCGCACTTGAAGGACCTCTTGAATAGCATCGAGCTTCTTCCAGTCATCTACATGGAGCCTAAAGTCCGCATATTGGCACTTGCCTGAAAGATTGGGCACTTCGGAAGTGTCATCTGCGAGAGAGACGAAGCAATTAAGTGCCTGCCAAAATGGGTGTCAATCAAACAAGTCCGTGAACAAGAGAGTCACATACCGCTTTGAGATAAATCAGGCGCTCCAGAAATGTGTGCATAGAGGCCCAGCGGGTGCGTATGTAGCCTAACGGCTGCAGGGGCTTGATTTCCGATTCCATGCACATCTTCTTCAAGAACTCTAAGGCCTGCGGAGAGGCCCGAATCTACAAATGGAATAAGATCAAGCGCTATATTTCACAGTAAGAATTGATCATGTACCTGCTTTACCAATGCTAAGGCCTTGCCCATTGCACCAGAGGTTGCGCCCACATCAACCTCGCCGTCGTTGTTCTCTTCGCTCAAGGCTGCCTTGATGAACTCATTCACCTTGTCCGACGATAGGTGTGGATTGGACCAGCTGACCTGCGCCTGAATCATGTTGAGATCAGCAACAACATCAGCTGAGGAGAGCGGTGCAATATTGGTAACAATGTGCTTTGCGGCAAGATGGACAATGTGTTCCATGCATCTTTAGTCATTGCCGATGTGAGTGGTGATAGTTTTGTAAGCAACAAGAGAGCTACGCACCAAACACGGCGCTCTCTTGCATTCCACTGTATGCCAAGAGGGTCAATCTCCTCACCAACGGCTCTAAGGGCTGTGTCATTGTTAGTGGTGTTGTCCGCTGTGAACCATCCCACCTGGTGAATAGTTGTGTCAGCAATTGATGTGAGACAACTGTAATAATCTCGCACCTTGTTGCGAAGATCATACTCATCAAGTGTTTTGACAATGATCTGGGCAAGGTTTGCACCTGAATGATCTCTATCAATCTTCACAAACACAATCTGGTCGCACTTAAGCTCCCACTTTGAAGGCTGGTCATCGGGAGCATCAATGTAGTGGGCAGTGATGCCAAGGTACGGGTCACTGGCAGCTGACGTCCAAGTGTCAAATGTCATTGATACCTGAGATGGGCAGTTCTTAAATACCATTCAGAAATCAGGCAACACAAAAGCGAAATAGGTAGCTTACCAATAAAGTGCTCTTGATATGTTCAATAACTGCATCCCACTTCTTGTAGATCTCATTGGTGATCTTGGTCCGATGCGGGATGTCCTTGTCAGCCAGATGCGGGCGGCAGAACTTGATGATTTGTCGGAAAGGCTGTTCATTGACCACACGGATTGCCTAGAGAAAGGTCAGAAGCCAAACAATAGATAGCTCAAGCAGCTCTTACATTGTCCACACACACAACAAACTCAATAATGTGATCAGTGAGGCCCTCCTTTGTGAAGGCAGGAATAGGTGCAGCAAAGGCATCAAGAGTGGTTTGCTTCTCTCCAGACGCTTCCCTATTCAGGCTCAGTTGCATTCAGACAGCGAGAAGAAACTTACACATTGTAGTCTTTAGGGAATGCCCGATGATGCATCGGAACATTGTTCTTCTCACATAAACGCTTGTAGACTGAAAAATGGGTATCAGGATACCTAATTGGAGCCACGTTGTCAGATCAGATACTTAGCCGTGTAGTGCAAGCTGACTTACCTAGTGATGTGTTTGCGCTGCAAAGAGACATTGCCTCTAAGGAATGTGTCCTTGTCAGTACTCGGGCTCTTGCTAAGGATGAGGTTAAGAAATAGTAGCGGAGCGTTACAGAGAAATACGTACCAGCAGATGCGGCACCAACTACCCTTGATCTTGTTCCCAGCTGGGCCCGTGATTGTTCCCTCAGTGAAGATGAGCTTTGTGTCTTTCGTAAGATCTGATTTGGGAATCTTCTTAGCCTGCCGGAAAATCAGTGTAAACGAATAAGAGCACAGAGTAGTAGCAGAGCGTACCAATCGATCTGCATCGCTGGCAGCTTTTGCGTCCTCATAAGCTGCCTGAAATTCCGCTTCCTCCTTGTCTCCCTCATCTCCCTCCCCGTCCTCAATATTGCTTGCATCCACAAGATCAGGCATGTTGGTGTCTTGATCAGTGGGGTCGGGAGACGAAGCGCGGGACAAACGAGATGCTGCACAAGATGAGGCGGACGGCGCATGAAGAGAGCTGCAGGAAGACTTGGATGCAGCACAGGGAACATTGCCTGAGGCCTTGCGTTTGCCCGATTTGCCAGCCACGTTGTTGGGGTCGACAGCACGCACAGAGGCATTACGGGTGCAAGATGAAGTCCGGCAAGGAGCATAAAAGTGATCGGCAATGGTCCTGGGCCTCCCCCGAACACTTGCAGAATGTGCTACTGGTTTGCTAGGCAGGAGAGGCTCAGAGTCGTCAACATCATTGTAGAATGTGATTTGGTCAGCAGGAAGGAGCTGGCCGTCAGGGCCTACAGCGCACTGTTCGTCTGCCATGAGATGGAAAGTACAGAGGGTAGTCCATTCAATAAACGCACCTTAAATCCAGCCACCGCAAGCCCGATGACGAAGATATTAGCTCGTCATTTTCCGCAAACATTTGTAATGATCTCCGTTGGCAATCCGCATCGATGAAAAAACAGATGAAAAAGAGTAATATAGCTGGGAAATCTTGGGTGCGGCGCCCAAGGGGGCGCGATGGCGGTTGATTTGGAATGTGGATCGAGCTTATCAGCTACGGATCACCGCCCAATAGGCACTAGGCCAAAAGAACACGATCAGTGAGAAAGATAGACAATTTTCCTGTGTGTGAAGAACAATGTGTTTCTATGATGAGGGTGAAAAGCACGAGAATAACCGTTGTGTAAAGCATGAATCTAATCATGTAATTTTATTAAGGTCCGGACGTGTTCGAACAGGTCCGCACAGGTTCATCTTTTGACGAGTTGCCTCGGACCTTGAACCGAACCATTGGTCCCGTTCGGTCCTCGGGCATCTCGGCGAACCGGACTGGCGTCCAGTTCAGGTTCCGGACACGTCCCCTCAGGTCCTGGACCTAACCGCGGCAACACTACTCGATTCAGGATTAGACGATTCTCCCACAATTTAAAAAATATCAGAATCACATCTTGAATCAAAGATCGAATCGCGTCAAAATCCGCTACTTTGACTGCCCCTAATGAAGAAAATGATCTATTTACATTTACATTTTCGGGAGGAATATATTTCTATTCACAGTAAAAATCGAGCTGTAAGTCGACTTCTATTTTCAATAGATATTTTTGTTTGAAAACAGAACAGTGAAAAACGGACTTCTAGATTGTCACGCGTTTTCCACGAAAAAAAAAAGTCCCCCCCTCCCCCGCAGTGTTAAGCACCGATGAGCACAAAATCCTATATGATATGGATAGCGTGACTTATGGCTCCGGGGCCTGAAAAAAAAATTGCACTGTCCGGACCAAGCGATGTCATGTATGGACTGATCCGCGCTGCTTTCCCGGATCAAGTAGGGCCATTTTGGGGTGTCTATTGGTACCCTTTCAGACAGACACAGTCGACAGTGACCGATGGCCGGCCCGGGCTTGACTACCAATTATTGACCGAATCGACAGACGATCAGCGCAGCTCTGCTCCGATGTTCTCCTAATCTTGTTGTGTCGAGTACTTTGACGCATATGCATTGCCCGTTTAGCCATTCGGCCCGTTTCGCACATTTAAAAGAGCAGGTAAGCTCGCTGTGGAATACCCACGTCCGAATGTCTTTGCCTACTGAAACACCTATTCTCATCGTTGGCGCTGGGCCGTGCGGTATGGCGGCAGCGCTCTCCTTGTACCACCAAGGCATCAAGGATTTGGTAGTCGTAGACGCCATCGAGCAGGGTCAGAACGCCTCGCGTTCGTTGGTGATCCATGCAGCGACACTTGAGGTTTAGTGTGGTTTTTCTGGCTCTTGTACACTACCGACACAAAGACATAGGCTTTGGACACCATCAAGTGCATGAACATCATCCTTCCATTGGGAGAACAGGTTAGGGAGCTGTGGGTGCACGAAGGGTCGTCGTTGCTGCTTACAGCCGACTTCTCCCTGCTTGCCGACAAGACCAAATTTCCGTATAGCCTGCTCATCTCGCAATCCAGCACCGAACGGGCGATGCTCGAAAAGTTGACGCAGCTCGGGATCCATGTATTCCGCCCATTGAGAGTCGTTTCCGTCAAAGAGTGCAGCGACGATTCCGGGAAGCTGCAGGTCTCATTCGAGTCTGGTGAAGTCATCAAGGCAAAGTACGTCATCGGGGCCGATGGGGCGCAATCAGTTGTAGGCGGCGTGTCTTCCTGCGCATGGGCTAGATTCATCTAACCTTGTCATCAGGTTCGACATCACGCGGGGATCGCATTCGAAGACCCAAGCGGAGATGGACCACGCGACTTTGGCGACCTATCGCAGATGGCGCTGGGCGATGTCTCCTTCTCCGCACCACTCCCGTCGACCACGCCTCATACCATATTCCGCCTTGCGAACAACACCACAATAATCATTGCCCGAATCCCCGACGTAACTTATCCCAATGCCACCAAACCAGTGTACCGCATCACTAGTGGGATCCCACAGCAGATGGGTGTGCCTCCACACTCTCCCGATCTCGAGTACCTGCAGAAGATGTTTGACCGGATGGCTCCCGGGTCTCTGCAAGGTTCGAAGATCGAGACCGTACACTGGTCTTCGCGCCACAAGACGCGCTCAGCCATCTCCGATCGCCACTTCCGGCGCTTCCCCGGAGGAGGGGTCGTCCTCCTCACCGGTGATGCGGCGCACATTCACAGTCCCATTGGTGGGCAGGGTCTGAGTCTCGGCCTGCGTGACTCCATTAGCCTGGGACCTGTCCTGAGAGCCCATCTCGACGCGCCCGAGGAGGATAGCGGACTGTTGGAATGGGCTCGATGGAGACACGAACGTGCGCTGGAGGTGATAAAGTTGACAGAGGATGGGCTTGGGCTGATTACGTCGCCGGGTAAGCTGTGGGCACCTGTCCGATGGCTTGTCTTCACCGTTATTCGAACGGTGGGGAAGCTCCGGTTTGTGAAAAGGATGGTCGCGTTCCGACTGAGTGGCCTGGCAGAGATCTGATGCTTCTTCGTCGCTTCTTTGCGCGCTTGAGTGCTGGGTCTTGCATTTCCAACCCCCAGCCTGAGTGGGAGTCTCAATAGATCAGCACGTCATCGTCGACACAACGTTTAATAACTTTTACATCCACGTAAACTGTTTCCTTTCGCTGGCTCGGCTCGAATCGAAGGGGAACGAAGACCTCATTACAGTGGCCATGAATTTCTCCAGCCGCGAAACATGGGGTCTGTAATAAGATTTCGGAAAACTCCAACGCAAACTGTAGTAAGCTACACAGAACCAAGCATCAGTGGACTATCCAATAAGTGAGCCATCGGTTGACAAACCAGAGTATGAACCAGCAAAGGGGCAAGGAGGGCGTATTTAATGTCGAGTGTTGTTTTACAGCGTAGCGAGTTAGTAATGCGAAGACCAAATAATTGTCGTCAAGGGTGGAGAGAAGAGGAAGAGAGAGAGAAAGACGCGGGGAGAAGTGGCAGAATAAAGCCTAGTCAAGAGAAAAGTGAGAAAAGAGCAGGAGTAGCGGCACATCCCTAGGTCCATATGGTAGTAGACACAAAATGAGAGGCTCCCACCCAAGTTTTATCGCGGGCAGTTGTACCTCCAGAACCAGTTTCCGACAAGTATGAGCACCAAGGTCTATGTAGCGCTCCAATTTCTGTCTCTGCGGGGAGCTCGACTCTTGCACCCGCTGCGCAGCGAGTCGGCGCGTGCTCTGCTTGAGGAGGATCTTGGCGTCTAGTTCCATCTGAGCGTAGGTATTCACGATGATGGGGCAAGCATTCACTCGTCGGTCGGTCAGCGCGCCTTTCCCTGTTTCCCGCGAGAGCAAGTCGTTCGTGATGGCCATAGAGGGCGCAGAAGCGGTGCAGTACTCTTCCACAGTGGGTCAGGACGGAGGTCGCTCGACGACCAACAGGATCCTGTTGATGCACACTCCTCGAGTATTCAGACCGTACTTGGGTCCTGCTGACGATCCTGGTGTGACCCAACGCCGGCATTCAAACCGCGGCACTAGATCTCATCGGCCATGGACTGGACCGCGGCGCTGCTATGGTTGCACTCTCTGAGGTAGGTCTTCGTGGCGTGAATGGTCTCTCTTTCGTCCATGGGATTGAGCTAGATCAGACGGTAACCACGACGCGTCGTCATCCTATCGCGGCAAATTGATGATCGAGGCCGGTACGCGTCGTAAAACGTATTGCGAGCTAGGGCAAACCCTTCAGCGACTAGTGGGCAGTGACGGTGCGCTCGATTCGGGTGGAGAGACGTGAACGAGCGTGGTAATAAAATACAAACAAAGCACGACGACATCATTGTGGTCCGACAGGAGATGAGAACATGAGGCTTCGCACAGTCAACAAACAGTGAAGTGACTTGCTCTCTCCCCCAGAAATCGCCCTGCCTCAGAGGGTGGTGGCAGCCCCCGTCACGTACTTATCTCGCCTCCGACCCAGCCTCTGCCGGCGATGAACCATTCGCAACGACATCGGACTAGTGATCGGCCGTCATTGTTCGCGGATGCATCCACTGGAACCCATCTGAGGGTAGTGCAGCAACGTTGTGGACAGCGGAGATGCATGCACATCTACACATTCAGCCATCTGTCTGCGCTACCGGCCTTGCTGACTAGCCACGCAGCCGAATGCGATGGCCCAGCGTCTTTGTGTGTGCTTGCGAAAGTCTGAGCGTCGAGAGCTGACAGGGAGACAGATCACACAGGGCCGTGATGCCGCCATTGGAGACTAGCCGGACGATGCGTCCAGAGTCATTGAATCTGAGCCCTGCGTAAGAGCCTTGATTGGTGCTCGCACATTCGCTGATTCTTCGACCTCAAGGTATGCCAAGGAAATGCCTACGGTCTAAATGAGATTGTCATGGGCCGCGAAGTTTCAACGTACCACAGTGCTCTGCAGAATCCGGGGTACGCCATCGATGTCGTCCGGTGAACTCTGCCGACGCCATTGTCTTCTCAGATCGCGAGCGATTCCCAGAGTACGATCCTCCATCCCCAGGATCCGTCATCTCCGTGTATGGGAGGACCCCGCCGACGATGAAAAGGAGACGAGTGTTGCCGGTGCCTACACCCCGTAAGTACATCTTCCATCTGCACTCTCCAGCCAGTCACGAGTCGGCACCAGGACCGTCCGGTCAACAGCCCCTCCTGGTCGGTCACCCCTCATCGAGCCCGCATCTCTGTGTTTCAGAACCAATCCGCCGCCAGGATCCAGTCCGTCGTTGATCAGCCCAGCGTCTTTGCTCTCTGGAAAACGGTTTCTGCCGCCGACGTCGACGTCTGTGTGGCAAAGCTTCCAAATGCAGTCTTCGTCACTGGTGATGTTACAAGCTGCCCTGCCCTCCTCCTCATCTCTGACATTGAGTCTGTCCGCACAGACTTCCCACGGACAGTCAAGTGCCCAGGCAATAGCCAGGGCAGACCCCGCTTCTGCTGCCCGCAGGAGAGATCGAGTCTTGTGAGCTTCCACCGATATGCTTTACTAACGAGCACAGCACCAAATGGCACTGCACTGTATTTCAGTACGATTCTGACCCAGGCTGGGCCTCAGCTGTCTTGGCACAGGTCCAGCAGTGCCTCGCCAATCCGCCGCCGAAACGAGGCAGAAAGACAATGAAGACCAACTGCACGCTTCCTCAGCGGGTCGCCAGCCTGGCCAGTGATTCGTGGATAAAAGCGTCCCATGCGTGGGGAGCGTGGTGCCGGGCGTGCGGGCGGCCATTTTGGTTGGACAGCCGCAGGAAATTCTACGGGTACGCCTGGAACAAGCATCGCGAACGGTGCCCTGAAATCGAGAGAAGGAGGCTGGAAATGAATGCTGGTATCGCGGTATGCCGTGCCGTTTTTGTCGGTTCGTTCAAGGATGGCGCTGACGCCGCCCGCCGCAATTTTTGGCCCAGCTCGCAAGTCTGACCCAATACTACGCCGAGCCTGGCCGCAAAGGGTCGAGCCTTGCAGCGAAGAGGATGAATGAGCGTGCAAGAGCCGTCGCCAAGAGCCAGACGACGGGGACCCGAAAGATGAGGACCCGAAAGCCAGCAGCCAAAAACAGCGCGAATCGGGCGTCATCAGCCTGAAGCGAGCACCGAACAAGTACTAAAATTGTACAATAGTGGGTCAGTGTTTCGTCGCCCGAGTTATGAATGGGAGGAACCGGCTCACTCGTTCTCCGAGCATTTGCCCAACGTCCGTCCGTCCGCAATGTAACCCTCCCTCCTCGTCCCTGATGTACCCATGTGTTTCCCAATGTACGCTGAGCCGATCGGCTTCATTAAACTGAAGATATTCGTCGTTGATATGGGGAAGAAAATGCGAGAGCCAACGCACCACCGTGAACCACCCGCACCGCTGCCACCAGCACACACGCGTCTCCGTCGCAGCGCCGCAGTCCATGCAGACGCAAGTGCCGGCCGCCGCCATCCCGCACTCCCCCTGACCTCCACCTCTTGCTGTCGATGCGAACCCGATGCTGTCGCCGTCCCGACGCTGCTGCTCCCAGAGACGCAGCGTCCGAATGGCTGGTCGGCCGTCGGCCGTCCTGCTCTCATGAATGAGTTTCAGGCCGATCGTCCGATGCAATCCCCCCTCAGACGCGCCCGCGGTGCGATGTAGTCTGGTGTACTGGTCGAGAAGTACGATCGAAGATTCCGGAAAAGCAGGTGGGGGCCAATCGATTGGAAGAGGGATGGACACACGGGCCTCGTACCCGCAAGTCTTACCGACCGCGGTGCGTCGCTGCCGGCTGGGGCTTCAGGCTCTCTGGACGGAGCGGTGGAGGATGGGGTTGTGGTTGTTGGCGGCCGGCCGCTCGACTGAGGGTGGTGTTGTGCTGGCCTAGGGCGGCTTCTTGGGGTAGACCCGACGTCTGTCCGGCCGGCGGGAGGGAGGAGGGGTATGTTCTCGCTGTCGCTTCCGGCCTCGATCGCCTATGGGAGGTCTACATGGACAAATTGGATGGCAGAGACGAGGGCAGGAAAGCTTGTTGACACCTGTAAATACACAGCCTCATACGTGGTGGTCTCTTTAACCGTTATTTACTATGGTAATTAGTGCAGGGCCCAGGGCGGACCAGAGCTCTTTGGGGCGGCAATTTGCACAATATTTTTCTGATATCTCTACATCAAAAGCCCGTGGAACATGCAGTTGAAATGAAAATTTAAAACCGTGAACTCACCGTCTGAAGAGTGCCAGTAACCATCATAAATTTATCATTGCAGTTTGACTATGGGAGTCAGCCCAGCTTGTGATCGCATCGTTCCGCGCCTTCTCAACATTATTTAAATTCCAGCGCATCCATTTCTTTGTGTAGTAGGGACAGTGGGCTCTCAAATTAGAAATTCCTTTCTGAATTTCAGGGCGTCATCAAATCTCTGACGTTATATGTTTTAAATGCCCGGATTCTGCAAGAGAAGTATCAGTTCTCATTTTTATTCCAAGAACGCGAGACGTTCTTTCGAAAGTCATGACGTAAAAAAGTCAGATTGCACATGGTACCACTATATAACCGTTGCACATCTCTCAGACGCCCGCAAATTTACTGGCGGGAGAGTGGACGTGTAGGGAATCAGCTATTGTGTCTCGCATTCCTTCCCCACTATGGGATGCCATCAGTCGGGGACCCGACCTTCGAATGATCCGAGACACGATCACGTGGACAGACGACTCTGTTGATCTGTTCCTCCGTGTTGCGGTTTAGTATGAGGAACACTGATTGGGATTTCACATATTAAATATCTAAAATAATACATACGCGTAAGAACATCAATCTAATGGGTCCTCTCGTGGATGTGCCGGTTGGACGCGTAGTTTCTTGGGGAGACGCTCGCTTCACTGGGAGCGGGGTTCCGAGATACACGAATTTCATAAGGAATTGGGCTCTCAACAGAAGGGAAAAATACTTTGGCCCGAACCTGACCCGGAACTCCGTGCTGTGGCCCCGCATCGATGCTGGACACCGCGCGGCGCCGCTCATAGGGGACAGGCTCAGCGCGTTCGTGGCCGTGAGAGGGGGCCACCAAACGCTGGTTGGCACATGGCACGAATCCGGGTGGGAGGGAGCTCCCGAACTGGTTCCCCAGCAGTGCCGGTGCAGTCAGAGTCGGCGTCGGCAGAGGGTAGACGCGAGGTGCCCTCGTGGCGCTGGGTACACTGCGTGGAGAGTGCGAGGTCGCAATGGGGTGATGGGGCTGAGCATGGGCTGGAGCTGCCGTGGACAACGCCCTTCGACGAGGAGGCGGCCCGACGAGTGGCCGAGCCACTCCGGCTCGTCCGATATTGTCCTGGCCGCATTGCGGCTCAGAGTCCGAGTCCGAGTGATTGAAGACGTAGTCCAGATGATCGTCATCCAGCCCCCGCATCCGGCTGTTGGCGCGTTGGGCTGCTTGTCTTCTGAGATCGCCGCCACTCTGATGAGGGAGGGGCCCGTTGGCGCTGGTGTAAGGAGTGGGTGGCCGGGATTCTGTGTACATCGGGGTATGCATTTCATGGATGTTGGGCTGAGGGCTTTATATCCTCTCGCCAGTGCACATTGTTGGTCTAACGCTTGTTTTTAACTCCCCAATTCGGACGGCTTTGGATCCAGCGCGACAATGCTTGCCAACCCCAGCGGCGGTTGTGGCTTGATGATCATGATCGATCGTGATCGGCCAACAGCAACTCTCAATTGGGCCCTATTTTGGCAGGTTTCGCCATCGACCTCTCATCTAGCCTCTGAATCTACATATCGTTTTTCCTGATTGCCATCTGGCGCGGAGCATCCTTCATCGGTCTACGCTAGATGCTTCCATGGGGGTACAAACTGCGGGCTGCGCTGTAAAGGCGGCTGTTCACGACAGGGGCCAACGTGAACCGGATCTGTGATTCGTATCGCATGAGCCCCGCACGAATACATTCCAGCTCTGCGATACGGTGATCCCGGCATGTCATTCAAGTTGCTTGGAGGTATAAGAGGCAGATGATACTTGATCCTGCATCGCAAGATGCCTTTCCTTCGTACATTGATTCTCTTGGCCTTCGCGGCGCACTGGACGCCTATTTCTGCGCAGAGTAGCACGACCTTCGACTGGAGCAATGTGGGTCGCTGGGAAGATCCAACTTGGCTGGCACTGACCATGATCTACAGCTCAACTCGACCGCGAATCTCGCTTGGGTCGACTGCTACTCACCCCCCTTCCAATGCACCCGGCTGCAGGTTCCACTGGATTATTCAGACCTGTCGATTGGCAACGCGGGAATCGCTATCGTCCGTCTCCCTGCCACCGTCAACAGGTCCTCCACGGAATACCTCGGCCCGCTCCTGTTCAATCCCGGCGGACCCGGAGGCAGTGGCGTTGACTCGATGGTCCAACTTGGACCGCTCTTCCAGCAGGTGATAGGGGGCCAATACGACTACGTTGGATTCGATCCGCGTGGTGCGTAGATTATCGTGCCATTCAGTATCCATCTTTGATACCTCACAGGTGTCTCGTTCTCGACTCCGGCGGCCAACATATTCTTCAGTGCCGCGGAGAGAGCCCAATGGACTGCGGGACTGTATCCAACGTCGCTCAATGCCTCGTCGGAAGCGCTGTTGAGACACTGGGGTCTTTCGCAGGTTCTTGGCGAGTTGGCAGAGAAACGTGACCAGACGCAGATCTTCAAGTACATGTCAACGGATAACGTCGCTCGAGATATGCTGTATATCACACAGAAAGCCGGATTCGAGAAAATCAGCTACTATGGGATCTCGTGGGTGGTTCCCTAATTCTACTTATCTCTTTTTCTTTTCTCAACTGTGCAATAGCTATGGGACCGTTCTTGGCGCGACTTTCGCTGCGCTCTTTCCCGTGAGCATGCGATGCACTTGGTTTGTTCACGCTCTAACTTGTGGACAGGATAAGATCAACCGCATGATCATCGACGGGGTCGTCGATGCCGAAGCTTGGTACAGCGGTAAGTGCACACATCACGCAGCGCATCAGGAGGGAACACTCAGGAGCTTTGTGCAGCCAATTTGACTATCGAATCCACCGACACCGACAAAGTGCTCGAATCATTCTTCACTGGATGCGCCACCGCAGGCCCGACGCTCTGCGCATTCCACGCGGCGACGCCCGTGGCCATCAGCGCACGCTTGGAGAACCTCACCAACGCGGTCCGCGCGAAACCCGTGCCGGTGGTCACCCCCGCGGGCTACGGGCTCGTCGACTACTCTCTCCTGCGCTCGGTCATCTTCCAGTCGCTCTACGCCCCGTACGACACCTTCCCGGCCCTTGCGCAGGGGCTCGCGGCGCTCGAGGGCGGCGACGGGTCGTCGATATTCGGGCAGTCCTCCCTCGCGCAGCCTGTTTTCCAGTGTTCCCCGAACGACACCTCGAACAGTATCGGCCAGGATGCAGGGCTAGGTCCGGTCGAGTGTGGGGACTCGGTGGAGATCACGGACTCGCTTGCTGAGTTGACGGATGGGTGGCTGGCCGCAGCCAAGGTTTCACGCTTCGCCGAGTTCCTTGCGGGATCGTTCAGAATCCAGTGCGCGGGTTGGAAGATCCGGCGGCAGGGCCGTTTCCTCGGACCGGTTTCTGCTGCCAACACGAGCTTCCCGCTCCTGATTGCGACGACTGTGGCAGGTGAAGTCGCCCAGCCACCTTCAAACTCATTCGCTGACGCATTTTTCGTAGACCCTGTCGCTCCGGCGATCGCGTGCGTAATTCCAGTTATTCTCTGCGGGTTCCCATCTCATAATCAACAGCGCGCACAACACCCAATCTCGGTTCCCCGGCTCGGTCCTGCTCACGCAAAATTCCCCGGGTCACACGACATTCACAACCTCCTCCGTGTGCACGTTGGGCCATTACCGTGCGTATCTGCTCAGCGGTGCTCTGCCCCAGGATGGCACAACCTGCGAGCCCCAGGCTACGCTGTTCTCTGGGAATCAGTCCACGGCCCGGCGCGACATCGATGATGCGATGGAGAGCTTCAGTGCCACTGGGCGGGAGGTCTTGATGAAAGCCAAGACGATGAGATTCGCGTATTGAATGGAGTCTTAGTCACTCGAGTGAGTAATTGAATGATTTGAATATACTGGGGCTCGCAAATGCAAACATGCGCTGCTTGAGACAGGTGCTTGTCCTCCGAACTCTCTCCCCAGTCAAAGCAACTCGTACGATTTCTGCGTCCGTCGCGGACTGGTACCTGGTACCGATCACTTCTTATGAAGCTGAAACGGATAGCGAAAACTAAGTCAAGAAAACTCCCGTAAGAGCCCGAGAAATGGACCGTCACTCTCACCAGTTTACACTGAGGACTCAGAGTGGATATAAAAATGACCCCCCTCTCTCGAAAGCCGACCCCAAAGTGGAAAAGAAACTCAAGGCCGGATTCCAACATTCCCTAGCATTGTCGATGGGATGACAGAAGCTGGTGCTGCCCTATGAGATACACCCTTGATTAGAAAACAACATCCAGTATAAGCATGAGTCATAGCACTAAGATTTAGGCTAATGTCTATGGCTGTAGCCATAGAAAACCTAGACTAACGCATGGCTGTAGCCATGCATGGCTAGGGTCATTTTTTTTATCGCTCCGTAGCTAAATGTTAAATGGGGTTTAATGGGGGAATCGAACAGGTGACCTCCCAAAAACTATCCATTTCCAACACATTAGCGCAGTGAGCCATGCTGCTGATACTACCAGGCCATTCTTTCCCTCCACTTAGGGTAACCCGCAAGCAGGTTACCCTAAGTGGAGGGAAAGCTTTATCCTAGTACTGTTCATTTCAAACCCTAACAACCTAATAAAAATGGTTCAAACCCTAACCAATCCTAACTGAGCCTACAACACATTTTTTTTTGCTTCCTGGCCCCGACCCTAACTTGGAAAAAAAACATCTCTGGGTCTAACCTTTCATCAACCCAAACCACTAACCAGTAAAAATAACACGATTCTTGGGACCCTAAGCTCTATCCCAAACCCAAACCCTAGCCCAAACCCGAACCTGTCCTAAGTCTGAGAAGGAGGGACACAGTCGTGGGAAGACTGAAGCCAAGTTGTCACACCAGTATAATATCTATGGTATCCATTTTTATTGCTGAAAATCAATTTCTGACTAGCAGGATCAAACACAAAACAAGCAATAGAGGCAAGAGTAATCATTCCATCAATAGTCTTTCATAAATACTTATGTACTGATTGACATTTTTTGTCACGTGCCATGTATGATTGATGGCATCCGTTAGCCTTGGGACCATGGCTGTAGCCATGGCATGGCTACAGCCATGCATTAGCCTAGGTTTTCCATGGCTACAGCCATGGCATTAGCCTAAATCCTAGCACTACGGGTGTAAGCATCTCGCAACCTTCCTTACTTTCTCTGACATGGACCGAACTCCCTCGAAGCTTCAGAGAGGGCAATCGTGATTCATTCCATGATTACTTGAGGAGGAACGAGATCTGTGCAGACCATGCTGCCGATACCACATGGGCCTCCATTGATGTCACGGGCTTGAGACGACTGTGATAGATCTCCCAATAGACAGACTGAGGTGCGGCTGTGGCAGAAAATAACATTTGAAGTGGTCCAACTCAGGGGTTGATCACTCTTCCGCCAATTGAGTTGACACGACGTCAAATGGGACATCACAGCCCTGAACAATTTTGAAGCTGTAACGGGAGGGACTGGCCTGTGAACAATGGTTCCAGTGAAAAAATAGGGTCACATGTAACACCCCGTGAACGATTGGTCGAAATAGTACATCAGGTTGGGGTACAGGCCCGCAGAAACTCAGTAGTATGTCCCCTCAAAAATGAAGTCAAATCATGTCCAAAAATGGCCTAACCTCACTCAGTAAATAAAGTAAAGCGGATCAAAATGTCCCAAGCTCAGAATTTAACGTGAAACAGTCCCAGTTGAGCGGTTTCGGAATGGAGGGGGGAACGTTCCAAAAGCGGAGGGGATCAGACAAATTCCTCTCACTTTTCACCAGCTTTCACCCAATCAAGCACAGAATTTCGAGTAAATCATATCTCAATAATCTGATGGATCTACGGAGATTTTCTGCCGCGTACAATCATCATCCATGTCAAATTTTCGGTTCGCCAGTGCTGTTCACTGTTCCCGGCTGCGGACCTACAGAAAATCGCCGCAGGTCTGCCTGGTCTTCTCAGAACCTTGTCTTGTCGGGTGCTTTTACGCAACTGCGTCTGCCGTTTACCCATTCGGCCCGCTTTGCACGCCTAAAAGAGCCTGCACGCGCCGCCACTGTGGAACGCATACGTCTGAATGTATTTGCCAGCTGAAACACCTATCCTCATTGTCGGCGCTGGGCCGTGCGGGATGGCAGCGGCACTCTCGCTGTACCACCAAGGCATCAAGGATGTGGTCGTCGTGGACGCCACTGAGCCGGGTAAGAACGCGTCGCGTGCCATGGTGATCCACGCAGCGACGCTCGAGCTGCGGGGCTTTTTCTGACTCTTGGACCCAACTAACACGTATACACTTAGGCTTTAGAAACTATCCAGTGCATAGACATCATCCTTCCACTGGGAGTGCAGGTCGGGAAACTGGGTGTTCACGAAGGGTCGTCGTTCCTGCTTACCGCCGACTTCTCGTTGCTTGCCGACAAGACCAAGTTCCCGTTTGGTATGCTCATCCCCCAATCGAGCACCGAGCGGGCAATGTTGGAAAGATTGACGCAGCTCGGGATCCATGTCTTGCGCCCTCTGAGAGTCGTTTCGGTCAAGGAATGCAGCGATAATTCTGGTATGCTGGACGTCTCGTTCGAGTCTGGCGAAGTCATCAAGACAAAATATGTCATCGGTGCGGATGGGGCGCAATCAGCTGTAGGCAGTGATTCTTCCCGTGCGTGGGTTAGGTTCATCTGAAGTTGTCATCAGGTTCGGCATCACGCAGGGATCGAATTCAAAGACCCACAAGGCGACGGACCACGCGACTTTGGCGACCTGTCGCAGATGGCGCTCGGCGATGTCTCCTTCTCCGCGCCGCTCCCGTCGACCACGCCTCATGCCATGCTCCGCCTCGCGAACAATAATGCCATGCTCGTCGCGCAATTTCCCGACGGAACCTATCCTAATGCTACCAAAGCGGTGTATCGCATAACCAGTGGGATCCCAGAGTCGATGGGTGCGGCGCCGCACTCGCCCGATCTCGAGTACCTGCAACGGATGTTCGACCGGATGGCTCCCGGGCTTCTGCAAGGTTCCCGGATCGAAACTGTGCACTGGTCTTCCCGGTACAAGACGCGCTCGGCCGTATCGGATCGCCACTTCCAGCGCTTCCCCAGCGGAGGAGTCGTCCTCCTCATTGGCGATGCAGCGCACATTCGCAGTCCTCTGGGTGGGCAGGGTATGAGTCTTGGCCTGCGGGATGCCGTCAGCCTAGGTCCTATCCTTAGAGCGCATTTCGACGCGCCCGAGGATGATAGCGGACTGTTGGAGTGGGCTCGATGGAGACACGAGCGTGCGCTAGAGGTGATCAAACTGACAGAGCATGGGATTGAGTTGATCACGTCGCCGCGTAAGCTGTGGGCCCCTGTACGATGGCTTGTCTTCACCGTCATTCGGATGCTGGGAACCCTTCGATTTGTGAGAAGAGCAGTCGCGTTCCGGACGAGTGGCCTGGCAGAGATCTGATGCCCGTTCGTCGCTTATGTACGCGCTTGATAGCCTGTGGCAGAGCAGAGGGGCGGGTGCTTTAATCCTATCTTTTCAAGTAGCTTTTGAGTTGGAGAAGGTCACACGTCGCTGGCAGCACAACGTTCTTTTGCGCTTACATTCACGTCTATTTGTCCCGTTCGCCAGTCTTGGGCAGATCGGATGGAGACTTCGACGTCGAGTCTGCTCCAAGCATTCGGAGCTATACTCGGAAGACTCGCGTAGGCACTGCGGTAAGCTGTCGGCCGGGATAGCAAATGGCAGACACCGCTACTATCTTGATTCCGTCGGAGGATACGTGAGTCAGAAGTTCTTCATCACAAGCAGCAATCCCAGTCGGATGACTTGAGAGTAAGTAGCAAGGGGAGTGTGCTTGCGAAAGTGACGGCATGAGCATCCATAACGCATTTGACGAGGCGTGGTCGATGGAAGAGGCGCGGAGAACGACACATCACCGAGCGCCATCTGCGACGGGTTGCCAAAGTCACGCGTTCCTAGTGTTGTCCCAGGTCAGGTCCCGAGTCGCGACCCGAGTCGACCATGAGGTCTCCTTTTCTTTGGCTCCATTGAAGCGTCAAAAAGCAAGGATGCAGGATGCAAGCAGCTATGAGTTCACTTCCAGGGCCGAAATTATCTATTACTGTCTTCAATGTTGATTTTTGTCGTTTTACATCCACAGTCCCGTGGTTAGTGCTGGGAGTTGAATGGTCTAGTAAATGTCCGCACCTGCGGTTGAGAAATCCGGGAGGAGCGCCCAGCTTGGCATGAACAATTTCACCGGCCGGATTTTCATTGACCAAGTGTGGTTCGATGGTACAGACTGGGACTGAATCCAAATGTTCATGCTCTGACAAGGAAGAAAGCTCCTGATGATGTATTTTGCCTGCTCATCGATACACGTGATCGCAGCGTGGCGCTCGTGTCACTGTCACAGGCGTGATGTTGTTCCCACCCTGCCTACACAGGGAGGCTTGTTTGATGAACACCGTGCATGTTTTGGACACATGTCCCAAGTTTAACTTATATGTGAATCTGTGATCAAATTGTAAGGTCATGACAAGATTCAATCCCTCGTTGAATGGCTCTAGTTCATTCTCAAAATGCACCTCGTTCATTCCACACCGGCCATCCGTCGTTTGTTTTTGGTCACGTGAGGCGTCTGGACCGGTCTGCCATCAATGGTCTCGGGCTTTTTCGGGACTCTTCCAGCGGGTGGTCCTGTGCAGCGCGCAGGCTCAAATGTGAGATACAAGGAAGTGGAGTGTATTGGAAGGGAATGATAGACTAGTACTTTGAAGGAGCTATGGTAGAATTACTACACGGTTCCTCGGCGGACAACTACCACTGAGATAGAAAATCAAGATCAAAGAGCAGTCGGGATTGAGATACGACGCACCATGACACTTCGCTTTCTGGACACATTTCGCTTCTCGCTCTCTGATCCAGCCTCTGAGCCCGCTCCAGGCCCGTCCTCCAAGCCCGCTTCCTTCATCGAGACTCCAATACCTGGAGCCCTTTGCACGCACGAGAGGACTTGTGAGACTTGATCAGTTGCCACTTGTGTGTTGAATGTCGAGATGTTCTGGCGATGCTCTTGGAGTTGAAGAGGGAAGCCTTGAGCGTTGAAGAGCGGAGGCTTGAGCATCGAAGAGAGGAGACTTGACGATTGGAGGCTGTCCCAGAGAACTTTGACTGACGCCTGTCCAGTCTTGCAACAGCTTTGAAGTCCTTGATGAGACTGCGAGCCAGAGGCTTGAGAGATCTTGCAAGGGAGCAGGAAGCATGCGATGACGTTTGCGAAATGGCATGGTCAGAAAGAAGATATATCACAAGTCACATTAATGTCACACGATATACTCAGGCGCACATTTTAATTGTCCTCCAAGGCTCCTCTATTGAGATACATTATGGAAGGATAAACTACTACCAGACTGACCATGAATACCACCAACATTCTCGAGCATGGAGAAGAAGGTGGCCTCGTCCATCTCGGATTGGGCGGTGAATGGTGTCAGTCCTTCTCCCAGATCGCGATTGCGCCCAGATTGGTCTGCACGTCTTGGGATGTTGATACGGACAGCGGCTCCTGAGATCAAGCCCTTGAACGTGTCCCGGTCGTCCTTGAGAATCTGATCAATGTACCTGTTAGACAGTCAATGCTTGCAGCGTGATTCGACACAGTAATCGGTCTCACTCTTTCCATGCCGGGGTGGTAAAACTTGATCCACGCTTGGATATTTCCGCCTTGAACCATTCTTCGACCTGTCCCCAAAAGTCCGCTCCCTTTGTTGTGCGACCCCTCTTCTTTGGACGTTCCTCAATCTCCTCGGGGTCTTGATCCTCATCCTCCTCGCTTTCCTTGGGTGACTTTGAGAGGGTGGGGTGATCAAATACAAAGCGGCGCTACACAGATGAGTGACGATTAGGGCCGCAGGAAAGATGGTACTCACCAGTAGTGCCACCTGGATAATGTACGGATCCGAAGTATCCGTAGTCAACTCGATCCCTTTGTACTTGCGTGCGGACTTGTTGACAAACGTGGCAAGGTTGCAGAACGTCTTGGCGTTGATGCTTGCAACAAGCTGTTGGCACCATATGAGCAGCGAGACTTGTGAGGGAGCAGACGAGACATACATCTGTGCGGAAACTGTTCCGCAATCCCGAACATTGACGCTTGACGAACTGACTCAAGCATTTGACTCGAGTGGGGATCCCGAAGATGTTGTCCAGGTCCAGACGTTGCTGATGTACTTGAAGATGCGCCTGAGATAGTTTGGTCAGCGACAGAATCTCATACATGGACGGGAGGACCTCACCATCACATCCAGATGTAATGTTGAGAACGATGTTCGTCGTGCCTCAAAAATGTGGCTGGCAATGACAGAGCGCACATTTTCCTGGTTGGTGGTCAGTTCTCATATGTTACACAGGCACTGTCTTTGACGCGTACCTTCTGAGGAGTTGTCAAAGTGAAGGTATCAGCCAATCGAATCTCCAAGTCGCGCATGACAGCGTGATAATCCCGTTGTTCCTTCTCTTGAAGACGTCGGGCCGCAGCTGCAATGCCCAGTTCAGCGGCCAGCGAGTACAGGCCCGTTGCAAGAGCGGGTAATGAGAGCCCAGGACCCAGAGATCCGATCTAGAATGGTTAATGAGTGAGATATTAGACGACGAGGATGTGGCGCGGCACGTACGCGCACAAAGAACCGCAATCGATCTTTGTCTTCTGCGTCCAACTTCCAATGATTGGCGATTTGGTCCAACATGACAGTACCGACAAGCTCAGATCCACTGGGCGATACAGACTGAGGCGGAGGAGTTAAAGAAGTGGGCGGAGTTGGGCTCGAGGGGAAAGCGGTGAGACCTGGTGCCAGAGTGGGTGTGCCAGGAGTGAGCGTGTATGGAAAGGAAGCGGGTCCCCAACGATCCGGATCGCGGTGGACAGGGGGGAGGGAGTCATTCAGAGTCTCTTGCATGGTGAAACGCAGGGTGAGTTGGATGTGAGCAGGGGCCTTTCCATGGAGTTGGTGCGCTTTACACGTGCTCGACGCGACCTTGTTGATTCAACAAACGCGTGCTTGCGCGTCGTGGCACGTTTTGTGACAGCGGAAAAGATATAAAACCGGGCGCCATGAGCGCAGGCGCGAGACTTGTCCCGCCATCATGCCCAAGGACATGTCAAACAATCACAAACATCCCTTGTCCCCTCTGCCTTCCGCACGCGGTCGATTCACATCTCAGCGCACTTGTACAACCAATGCCAGGTGCGCATTTTCAACATCCTATCCTCTACATTGCTTTACCTCCCATAGATATTATCTTGATATCCCCGATCCTTTGTCTGGGGCTGGGGCACTCAACTCCCAGATCACAGACTCTCAGTTCTTTCCGTTCGACGACCTGAACAGCCACGGTGAGCCTGACTTGAACATGATCTCTTTACGGATTCAAAACACGATTCAGCCTTGCCTGACCGCACGAGCTTGGGAACGCACCGAGATGTCGAATTGGAGCAGAAGGATGAGCGGGTCGTAGATGTCAAACCAGAGCAGAAGGATGAGCAGATCATTAAGACGCAGGAGACTGCGGTCCCCCAGCGAGTGCCTACATTCAAAAGTGCGTGATACCCATCCTCGATACCATCTCATGTTCATCCGAGCCACAGAATACAATGTCGATCTCACAAAGCAGCCCTGGGCTTTTGTGGAACTTTCGCCTTCCGAAATCTATGTTATTGAGCGCTTTAGGCGGTATCCCATGGACGGTCACACGATCAAGAGCCTACTGGAAGAGTGGCAGTTGTCTTTTGATCGACTGAAGGGTCTATATCATCAAAGTCGGAGCGAAAACGAACGACTCCGGGCGCGTCTACAAGATATCCAGAACTTGTCTTACATTCAAAAATGACAATCTCTTTGATTCTACTGTTGACTGTGTGAGAGAGAGGAGGAACCGTGCGGCAATCCGGGGTGGTGAATTGGCACACTTGAATGCGACAGCAATCTTGCACCGCTTGGCAACAACATCGAAGCTGGACGAGCAGCCATCGGAATGGGACGAGCAGCAGTGATTGACGGTAATGCTGGAGTGTTTGTCCGGCCCTTTGAGCCCTGCCGGAGCGATATTTCTTTGGCGGCACTCTCGTGAACGACCATTTCGAGGTTTGGGGGTGGCGCGTCGATCCGAAACGTCTGGAGATACAAGGCATCTCGCATCTGGGCCGTATTCAAGACCACATCATCACGATCCCCCCGGTGATGAATCTGAGCTTGTGTTTGAGTCGTCTTGACACGTTCCTGATAGACTGGGACTGAGCCCGAGGTGTCACACTTATACTTGATGCAATTGTGTTGCACGTTCACAGAACAGAGAATGTCCTACGAAATCTCAGTGAGTGTTACATTCGGTGATATCGGTTTCCAATTCAATCTTACCTCGAGGCAGGTGATGTACCACCGCCCTGATAACACCAATCGCGGCATCCCGTATTGTCCAAGGCTTGGATCCACAGTGGCCTCTTGCAGCAAGATGATGTCAGGCAGCTCGGATATACTGTTGACCGACCCTGGTCGTTGCAATAGCTCCTCCAAACGACAGACTCTCGTTTGCGAATCCCTTCGGGTGAGGACATAAGATCGCAGCCCGCAACGATCGCCATTTAGCAGTTCCAGTCGGTTCCATGACTTGAACAGCCCAGTCTGGTTGTTCCAGGCTGCTATGTGCTTAGCAGTGACCGTCTCTGCGGCACGTCTTAAGACCCCTTTATCTATGCACTCGCTAACACCTGCCAGTAGTTCAACAGTCCGAATCTGGGAGGGAGGTTATTGTCGACACTCACCTCCCACTTTACGTCCCTTGTCCTCAGCAAGTCCAAGATAAGAGGCGACCGTGCCTTCGACGAGAGCAAGCGGCCCTGGTCCGGCTGAAATCCAATCTCCTTGCGAGGAGTTACTGGTCTGACTGGGATTGGATCGGAAGAGCCCTCCGCTAAGCAAGTGCCGTACGCGATTGCCCTGGGCAAAACCTGCCGCAATATCACGCGAAGGTGCATGGCGGTTCGAATGAACGCTTTTTGAACGAATTATAGCGTTGAATGATTCGAAGGCCTCTGTTGCAAACAAGATGGCAGGCCCGAATCGCCGAATATGCGCTGGTAAGTGAAGCAAGATATGGAATTTGGGCTTATTAAACCAACGGTTAGTCCATCGCGCAGCACAAGAAAGAAAGTGATCGATCTCGCGAGTCAAGCGGTCCTGCACAGAGATGTCTGAGGTCTGACATTAAGGACATGACATTGACACTTTCTCACCAGATATATCTCGATGTCGTCAATTTTTGGTTGCCAAATGAGAGGGACGAGTTTTGATAACGCCTTCCAAGTTTCAAAACATTCCGGCGCGACAAGGTCATAGACAGTGAAAGGAGCCACCTGGGCAATTGCACGGAAATCCCGACCAGTTAGAGAGCCTGCATATTGAACAAGAGTTCGGCCAGCCAAGGGAGATATTCCAAGTCCGTGAGTATCGACTGAGTTCAAACGTGTGACAAGGAGCTCCTTCTTGTCGTCCTTATTCTTGATTTGAATCTGAATGAGATCGCGCCAAAGATATTTGACAAATCCAAGGAGAACCACATGGAGAATTTCGACGGGTGTGTCCTGATGTGGGTCCAATCCTTTGATTCGCCAAACTGGACTCATCGTCTTGTCAGGGGCGGGCAGAGCGTCGGCCTGAATTCGAAGCGCTTCCAAACGGGCCGGCTGTCCGCGCTTATTTTTGTGCGAGTCGAATAACTTCTCCACAAAAAACTGTTGGAAAGTATCTTTGATCCCGGTCTCGGTACGCTGTTGCTTGATCTGTGTCTTCTTGTCCACAGTAGTAGAAGCAGTAATGAATTCAGAGCGCAAGTGTTCTATTGTCTCGGATTTCTGGCGCAAGCGGCTGATCTGGACAAATGTGAGTTCGAGTAATCTCTGATCTTATCACATAGCCACATGATCAGAGCGCAGAAACGATCATGTGATGATATTAAGGAATCTGCGCGCTCACCGTCATGAACGCTTTGACGCGTGTTACCATTTGTCCCATTGTCTCCAATGCTCGCTTCCCTGCTGCTGCCCGTTTCTTCTGCGACTTGGTGGTGCTGTTCAAACTGTCATCGCTCTGTGCCCCAACACTGCTTGCATCGCCGTCACTGCCAACATCGGATGCGTTTTGAGTAGCGGGGCTGATACCAGCAGAACGCTGAGGCTGCAAATCGTCTTGATCTGTTGCGTGGCCTCTCACCCAACACGCACGGCAGAAGAATTTGCCGCGCAAGCCAATATGGCAAGCAAACTCACTTTGCATTGGATTATCTCCGAGCAGAGCCAGAACCTCCGGGATGACAAGTACTGCCTCCTGAAGGACGATATCCCATGCCCAAATTCCGTTTTCCTGGCCATGTCTAGGAAATGAGACTCGGTGTAGTTATGAAATTAAAATGAACTCACTCGAGCTGTTCTACAACTCCATCCATCATTTCCAGCGGAGGGGCGAGGTTTGACGTGCACAAGAAATGAATATTGAATTCTTTCTGGCTCTCATGACGGTTCAGACCAGCAGGAGTCATCAAGAAACTGTTATGCTTGTTCCATTTTTTGGAAACATTCCCAGAGGTATCATCGCAGTAGAGCCACATTGGGAATGAAACAACGCGACATCCCTTCGCTTTTGCGCGCCATGGATTACCGAGAACGGCGTTGGTATATGTCCAGGGAACACTGGGCTGAGCAGCGTTTGTGTCGACAACATCTTCAAGGACATTGATCAGTCGAAAATATGATTAACATGCGGTGCGTACCAATGATATATGATGGGTGAGGAACACCATACACGCCGGCATCGGCCTGAAATCCCAGAAAATTCTTGAAGAAGTGCGAGGCCGGAATATCAACGCTGACGGTCTTGATAACACGCCAACCAGAACCGCAATCACTCGCAACTGGAATCATTCTCCAACACCTGGCAAACAGAGATCCTTCGCGAGTAAACCACCGGGTGGGAATGACAAATTGTGCTGTTGCCTCCGCAGCCGATGCCATACACGGCTCGTAAATGTAATAATCATGGCCATGAAGTCGGGCCATGGGCGTTGTCTGAGTATCGGGAATCTCATTCAGCCACCGCTGACCCTGTCGAGCTTCCGATAATTTTGAGCCGGAATCTTCTGGGTAAAATGAGAGATGTCTTCGAACTCTAGGGTTTGCCATTTCCTGCGACGGTAGTCAGTCATTAATTATGGCTGAGGAGAAGCGTTGCCTGGAAGTAAACCAATTACCTGCGCAATTATCTGAGCGATATTATTCACAAAATATTTGTGACCAAGAGCGCCGTTATACGCTATCGTTTCGATGCCACAGAGTTTCTGGAGTCCGAGATTTAATCTTTGCATTTGCTTGATTGACGGTACGTAGGGTATGTTATTGACTTTGAGCAGCCACAGGAAGAGATCGAGTTGGCGTTGTGAGAAGACCGAACGGGGCAGGTGCATTAGAATATCCAGTGTGCAAGTCTAGTCAAATCGCGAGGTCAGTTATTATCAATCTAGATTATAGCCGGTTAGACTTACAATTCGATCTTCCCAAGGATGCCAGTAAAGACGGGCGGCCTCGGACTCATGCTCATGGTCACCACGAGGTCGCTTCGGAGGCGGCGGTAAACCATCCGATTGTGGATCTAGGTCTACGAGAAATGTTAGTGAAAAGCTGCAGGAAATGGTATTTCAATACTTTGAGTGCGCGAAGGGGACTCATCGTCATGCGGTTCCGTATCCAGATCATTCTCAGAACGCTCATTCTCGTCATCATCCGAGAACGCATCAAGGTCGAAGCGTTGAAGAATCGCATTTGTGAGAGAGGCAACAGCTCGGTCATCAGCTGAAAGTACAAATTCGGTGTCGCTGCGCGCTTGAATCATGTTCCAGCTGATTCCAAGAACTGAGTTTGAGCTCGCTCCCTCCAATTGCAAGTCAGTTTGGTAGTCTGGCTCCGTGTTTGGGACGGGGTAAGGATGAGATACACCGCCCCCCAATGAGGATAGGAGATTCCTGAGCCCTTCATCCGCGATGTCCTTGTCTGAGATAGTGGTATTTTGTGCCGGATCGACGCTGCTCGCACCACGCAGAAAAAGCTCTGCCTCGTCCACTGCTTCATTGCGTCTCTGTAAGGCCCTTTTATGAGCTTGACTGCTCTCGTGGCGGGTTCGATGGCTCAGCGCTCCGTTCCGCTCAATCCCATCTGCACAAATCTTGCATAGAACCACAAGTTGGTTGCTCGCATTTCTGCGAAAGTCCCAAATAGGGGCTAGATTGTATCAATCAATGACGTCAGTGTATGATTGCCGAAGCCACGGGACATCACGTACAAGCCCTCGCGTCCAACGCATCGGCACTCATGAAGCTTGCACGAGAGGCAGGTGGAAGAAATGAACGGTGCTGAAAAAGGGGTGGAATTGACTCTCGATCATCCAAAAATTGAAATTCTACCCATTTACAGATTGATGAACGAAACTGATTCCTAATTGAACGACGTTGGTAGTTCGGATCACACCGAGGTCTATTTTACACGCGGCAACTTTCAGTCATCCGACCGTCTGGCCGTGTAGACTATGCTTCCATTGCCATTATCCCCCTCGGGCTGCACGAGCGTAGAGCCAGATTCATCGCAGGATGCACGTTGGCCCTAATTATAGCTCCTTTTCGGCATCTTCGCGGCAAGCGCTAGCATATGCTCTCGCTCTGCAATGATCTGGCAGTGCTACGAGTCATACGTGCGCAGATTCGACGTTGCGGAACGCCTGATACAGCGTCAGAGATCTTCTAGTCTCTTCCAAATTGAGTGCCACTAAAGTTGTAACTCGCTCGATGGCGAGAAGTCGGTGGCCGCGTGCTGAATTGATTATCGGATCGCTGGTTAGGATACCAAGCTTGATCTCGCACTGTGAACTCATGGTGCGCCGCATGAGCTTGTGCTCGAGATAAGGAGCGAGTTCTCATTAACGTTAAGCTTCGTGCAGGAAACAGGGTTTCCGGTCTCACTTCCGTTTGCGCGGCACATGTCGAGCGCCGAACTTCCCGCTCGCGCACGTTGCTCATTCGACGCACGTATCTTCCCCGGCTTCGCCTATCCTTGATATCGAGGCCGAATTCCATTTCCCCTCCGAGCACTTCGATCCCATCATTCCGGTTGCCTGGCCCACACTTCTTCATCCCACATGCTCGAACATATGCGGACGCACCATGGGGCACGCGGAACGGCATAGATCGTGTTTTCCGCACAATGTGTACACGGTGCGAGTCTCTGTGGCTTAAATAGGGCCACCTCAGGAGAGGAGGGACCGTGCTGTACCGTCCACGATGCTCCCCGTCGCCGCTGTCCTCGCGCTCATCGCTGCCGCTCCGTTCGCGAGTGCATCGCTCATTAAGCCTTTGCTGTCGCGCCAGGCGACGTCGAGGATCTCATCCGGATGCTCCAGCAGTGGCGCACTTTCGTGCAGCTCCAGCAAGAGCGGCACTTGCTGCTTTGAGGCTCCTGGTGGTTTGTTGTTGCAGACACAGTTCTGGGATACCAGCCCATCGACTGGACCGTCGAACAGTTGGACTATCCACGGTCTCTGGCCCGATAAGTGAGTCGAGGCTGATATTGTACACTTGGGTTCTGACTGATGATGTGTGCAGCTGCGACGGCACTTTCACCTCCAACTGTGACTCCTCGCGGGACTATACCGATATCGGATCGCTGCTCTCGGCGCAGGGCGGCAGCTCGACGCTTTCGTACATGCAGACTGTGGGTGCTTTGTCATGAAGCTTTGCCGGTATCTAACCCTCCGGACCAGTTCTGGAAGAACGACCCGAACGACGGCACCGACGCCTCTCTGTGGGCGCATGAATGGGCCGCTCACGGCACCTGCTACAGCACTCTCCACACGTCCTGTCTCCCGTCAGGGAGCCCCAAGGGTGCTGAGGCTGTCGCGTTCTTCGAGACGACAGTCAACCTATTCAAGACCCTGCCTACTTACGAATGGCTCGCTGCAGCAGGCATCACCCCGTCTTCCAGCACGACCCATACCCTTGCGAGCTTGACCTCTGCTTTGCGCAATGCTTGGGGTGTGAGTGTTTTTACTGATGACATGAGGAAAGTGCTGACCGTGCGTCGAAAGTTCACACCCGCATTGAGCTGCACCGGTAGCAACCTCGGCGGTATCTCATACTACTTCCATGTCTCGGGTAGTCTCATCGATGGAACCTTCCAACCCATCGATTCGCCCTCGAGCTCTACTTGCCCCTCGAGTGGCATCAAGTACCTCACCAAGACTGGTTCGCCTGTCGGCACTACCACTGTGGGCGGCACCACGACACACCGCACGACCGCGACGGGAACCAGGACGACCACGAGCCCGACCAACACTGCGACCGGCACACCCGGCAACCTCCCCTCGACGGCCACTATACAAGCGTCGAGCGTCGGAGGGCTGCTCTCACTCGGCACGTGGTCGACTCAGACGCTGGCGACGTACCATCTCTCGGGCACGACCGACAGCTTCACCATGACGACATCGAAAGGCTCCTGCGGCGTCAGCGGCGGCCAGCTCGCTTGCGGAAGCGGGGCTTCGACGACATCCTTCTCGCTCGTGCGTCGTCTCTTATCGCTGCCGGCCATGTGGATTGTGCTGATGCTTTGATCAGGTCTCCAGCGGCGGCTCGCTCCTCCTTGCGTCGGACGGATCAACGGACTGGTCCAGCTCCAACACGCCCAGCGGCCAGGTACAGGAGGCTGTCTTCTCTGGAACCGGCCAGGGTATCTCGTACACTCTCGAGGTCATTGGGTCGTGAAAATGTAGCTTCAGCTATATCATCTCATCATGTAAAGTAAAAGCAACCAATGCCATCCAGCCGTCACAGATTACGATCCCGTGCATCGCTCTCTCGGACTGTTCCGGAGAGGTCCATTTGTGGATACTTCTTCCTTACCACTTGAGATCGCGTCTATTTATGGACCAGAACTCGCGGACGCAAAGCCCGACTCGTCTTGCCCTCTTACAATCATGCCCCCGCGCTCCATTCCACGACTCACCGCTTCCCTCGTCCTCGTCGCGCCGCTCGTCCATGCCGCGTTCCAGATCACGGGCAACGCGATCTCCTCCTCGTGCGCCGGTACCAGCGTCGCGTCGTGCATGAACACGACGGCCGTCCAAGATTTGTGCTGCTTCGAGGCTCCTGGAGTACGTCAGGGTCCTTTTGGCAGTGTGGTGCTGCATTGCGTTGACACGTCCCGAGTAGGGACTGCTGCTGCAGACCCAGGTGAGAACACGTCGAGCCGTGTGGCGTCGAGTGCTCATGACGCGTAGTTTTGGGACACCAATCCAGAGACTGGGCCCGTGGACAGCTGGACGATCCATGGTGAGTGTATGCTCAACTTCCTGACGCGTCTGATCGCAGTCTAGGACTGTGGCCTGACCAGTGAGAACCGCAGCGTGAGATATTACCGACCCTCTCTTTACACGCTCCACAGCTGTGACCTCAGCTTCTCGGAGAGCTGCGATCCTTCGAGAGCATACAAGAATATCGCAGGCGTACGCATATATCCTGCCTCCTCGTCTCGAGAAGTCGCTGATTTGGGAATGACCTATTAGCTTCTTTCTGCCCAAGGCGCCCAAAGCACGCTTGATTATATGAAAACAGCGAGTTTATTTCTTGCTTCTTGAACCATGGGAGATGTCTGATTGCCGGCAGTACTGGGTTGATATTGACGGGCAGAATGAGAGATTCTGGGAGGTCCGTGGTCGAACGTGTGTCGGCTCCAATATGATTTCTCATGCCTGCTGCGCATAGCACGAATGGTCCACGCACGGGACGTGTTACAGGTCAGCGGGGGCTCCTGTCTGATTGCGTGTTTCTCACTTCCATCGCAGTACGTTGAAGCCGAGCTGCTTGCCGCAAGGGAGCCCACAAGGCGCTGAGGTGCGTGCGTCAGCTCTGCCGGGCGTCGCGGTCATTGCTGACGCATCGAAGGCCGTCGCGTTTTTCAATACGGTCGTCGGTCTGTTCCAAGTGAGGATGGGCCTGCAACAGATAATGTTGTAACTGACCCACCGGTCGCATAGCAACTGCCGACATATACCTGGCTCGCGAATCAAGGCATCACTCCGTCATCCAGTGCAACATATGACTTGCAGACCTTGACCGATGCGCTGCAGACTGGAGCTGGGGTCGGCCTTTTATATCCCTGCTGCCTCAGAGACTGACGATTGGATCCAGTTTGCACCTGTTCTGGATTGCCGCGGCTCCTCGCTCGATTCGGTGTCTTGGTACTTCCATCTGCAAGGCTCGCTGCTGGATGGAACCATGGTTCCTGTCGGTACGTCGCGATGCTCCTGAGCTGTTGAGAATTCGGTGCTCAAGTGTCACTCCAGGCGCCCCGGAGAAGGGCACATGTCCGTCTACAGGAATCAAATATGTTCCCAAGTCACTAAGCGGCAGCCACGAAACGACTCCCCGTGTACGTCGCATTCCTCATCAGATGCCGATCCGTTTACCGATCCGTTTCGCAGAGAAAGCAACAACCCGTCAGTAACAAGAAAGTCTTCTGAATTCTGGCCGCTGACTATTTTGTGACCAGGCCCGCCGGCGCCATCATCACCGCCACACTGAGGACTCTGGGTTGGTAGAACAGCAACAACAGCAAGATCAAGCACCTCTGCAGGATGAGGGCCACCACGGTCACCAACACCATGGCCATGGCCATAATGATGAGTTGTGATCTACAAGCTCATAGACTTTCCTACCGAACTCTTCCCTACGTATATCCTCCGCAATGTCGTTGTGTCGCATGATAGACTGCCTAAACTACACGAACATCATGTCAAACCATGTACCAGGCAATGGACAACTTGAGGTTCTACAGAAAGAGAAAAGCCGATCCGGCGGCTCTCGTTTTCGGTATCTGCGACGCACTCGTGCAAGATTTGTCAGGTCGGTTGACTTTTGGCATACGTCACGTCGAAGAGCGTTAGGATCTACATAGCGATAAAAAGCTAGCTCGACCTTGCCGAACTGCTTTTCAATCCGTGTCATCAAGCTCTCGGAACATCAGGTGGATTACGACCCATTATACAAATAATCTATGAAGTTGAGACCGAAATGTCTAAGAACTCTATGGATTCCTTGGGAGCGGATTCTGAAGCAGGGATTCTGGCGTGTACCGTGTGCTGCTGTTATCTCATCAACGCAATCTGTCTTATCAGCGTGGCGCCTTACAAATCACGCCTTACAAATGATGCGTTCTCTGGTGGCGCAACAGGCCCGCGGAAACTCAGTATCAGGTCACTCAAGGATCAAAGTCTGTTTTACTTTGCAAAAACTGTCACCTTTGGGTAGTTTTCCTTGAAATTTCAAGGGACCCCTCAGTATTTGTGTGTACGTTCACGTGAGGTCTTGTTTGAGCTCTTGGACTGAGATTTACTGAAAATTCTGTGCTTGAATGGGGGAAAGCTGATAAAAAGCGAGGGGAATTTGTCTGATCACCTCCACTTTTGGAACATTTCTCCACCCCATCCATCCCGGAACCGCTCAACTGGGTGCAGTTTTACGCTAGATTCTGAGATACCTTGGTACATTTTGACCCGTTTTACTTTATTTTACTGAGTGAGGTGGGCCATTTTTGTTTTGAGTGACATATTGCTGAGTTTCCGCGGGCGCCTGGCGCAACCGATTGATGTGTCATACATATCACATCATCGCTGTTGGATGGGGGCTTTTCGGTCGCCCCCCATCGACATGATCGATCCGTCTGAGCTTTCCCCGTAGTTAAGCCCCGCAGATAACACTTTAAAATCTCTTCTTCTAAGCTCGCAGGAATCGGAGGGAGGGATACTGCTTATGCATACTGCTTCTCATTCCGAGTCAGTTTCCCATTAGTCATCCCTGTCTCACACTGAGTTGATCGGCTGCAACCGCCGGACGCCACGATGACCGATCCACCAGTGCCAAGATGGCTGGGCGAGTCTATAGTTTGCGTTCGAAGGAAAGAATGACACGGGACCTGTGTACTCTCACATGCGTGTTCACGGAGGCCCCCGGTCACCGACGACTAGGGGTAGTCCAGAATAGCGCAAATCAGCGCCCGGGAGTGGCCTTAGCTCAGTTAGTTAGGTAGCGCAGAGAGTTCAGTGCGAATGCCCAAAAGAGGTGCGAGGCTGTAGCCGAGGTCCCAGCTTCGAGCCACGATAGGCTCATATCATAGCAGATAGCATGCCAGGAAAGAATATATGGTCTGGATTTGGGCTACAATGCATAGAGTTTGAGGGAAATGATCCATACTGGGGGCGATCTGTGTCCAATGTGGTGCAAATCAGACGCAGAACTCTTGCGACCGGGGGTCCGTGTGCATGTGACCAAATAGGCTGTTTCATGAGAATAAACGGCTGAGCCTGGGAAAGGACTTGGGCTTGTGCGGGCCGTCATGACGGTGTCGAGATTACATTTCCTAAGCACGTCAGAAGCAGTGGCCTCGACAGTCAGGATATGGGTCTGCATGAAAAGAACGACTCGATCTCAATCTGTTGCGGGGTACGAAACGACGAACAAACACATCTCGGAGACGCAGAGCACGCGGTGATAAGATGTACAGATGGTGGGTGCGCCTGCAGCGGGCAGGTGCGCCCCACAGCTGCGGTTCAGGAATCAGGACTGGGCCCTATGATACCGGGAGGGCCCGACGTCAGACTCGATGGTGATCTTCGTCGGCGCAGGTGGCGGCTAGAAGCACTTCTGAGCGGAAGAAGCCCGATGATACGTGGATCCGTGGACGCACCCGTATCAACAACGCTGCTTGCCTCGAGGGCGCGCGTGACAGCGCTATCTCGCGCGCAGCAGCCCGCCGCTCGCGTCTGTGCTGCGCCTCCGCCAGGAACCGCTCCCTCCGCCGCTTCGTCTCGCGGTTATGCCAGAGGACGGTGCCGAGGATGAGTCCAAACACGAGCACTGACGCAGATCGTGGTACCGCACACAAAAAGCAGGCTGGATCACCACGCACTGAGGACGACGGAGACGGCGACCTCCCAAGCTTGGTTCAGATGTCCCGGGCGGTTGTGGTGGGGCGGCGTCGGACTGGAGAAATCCGTGAGCACGAACGGATAATTCACTTGCAAAAGGATGTCTGCGTCATCGCCGGGCTTACTTTTCGGGTGCGGCTTGCCTCGGGCGGAGGTGCATAGGGCTGAGAAACTGTCCGAGAGGAAGGTCCAGAGAATCGCGCGCTCGCATCCACTGTCCCTTTCTTGCTGTCTAAGTATGGGTGGCTGCGGAGAGTTGCTATGTACCCCGCACCCAGGGAGATCACCGCGAGGCCCAGCCAAGCGAACAGCGGTTGCCGAACTGTCGCCGATACGACGGAAATCAGATCTTTTCGCGCGCGAGCACGTAAGGGTGCTTGGGAGGATGGGATGCTGTTCCAGACTGGCCCGCGCGCACGCGCTGGGATGCCGTCTCGGCCGCTGCACGTGCCGTGGGTGAATGGGTCTTGCATCGAGACGCACTCTTGCGATGCGTACCCGGACGTGGCAAAGATCGCAGCCCGGGAACTCGCAAAGAAAAGAAAAAGAAAAGGGGACAAACCACGCGATCATTGGCGAATTCAACCTTGCTTCCTGCGAGCGATGCACTTTGGCATCCCTCCCGATTGGTGCCGCTGCCGACTGCAAGTCAGCATTACGTGAGCTCAGCGCTTGGTCAGGGCAGGCGTGAGCGGACGCCGAATAGAATGCTGAGCATGTCGCGCAAATGAACAGGCGGCCATCGTCGAGAAAGGGCGCCAAGAGAATTCTCGAAGTTTGTGAGACGTGATGGTGAGAGCGAAACTGAATGTTCGGGTCCGCACCGTGGCAGCTTCCGATGATCCATCAGATTATTATCTTATCTTATCATGCGGAGTGTGGATCGTTCAATCACCTGGCCCATGGTTGTGCCTTTCAAGGGGTGAAAACCCGCAGGCTTTCGTCACGCGCGGGAGGGACGACCGACAGCTCGCGATACCGTGACAGTGCGCCACGGTATCGGCCTGGATTTGCGATCTTCGGTCGCTCACGTAACGGTCATCTGGTTGGCGTCGTATTCTCAAGTAAAAGTCGTGAGATATCAGTTGTTGGGTATATCACAATCGATATCATAGGCGAGTAAGCGTCCGTAAGAATCGATAAAAACAGGTAAAAATCAAGGAAGTCTCATCCGCATCGTGTTGTCCGCCATGGAAAACATTCCAGAAAACGCGACATCGCCCAGGGCAGCGCAGACGGCCCCACTCAATCGCCGATGCTCCCTCTCCATTTCCGCTCGCCCAATCAACCCTGAGACCGTCACATTCATCGCCAACTGCCTGAGATCAGGAAGTGCGCGGAGCCAGGGGATAGCCTCGTGTGCCACGGTCAGCGACTCGCAGAACAGGCTAACCGTGGGAATCCGGAAGAGGTTTCGTCCTGCAGCGATAATAGAGCTGTGAAACGACCAGATTTCAGGGCCATCTGGTGGAGGCGGCTCGTCCCCGCGAACGTCGAGCTCGATCGCACCGTCGCGAGGTGCTTCGGTTGCACGGTCGTAGATGGCCTTGAAATCGAGCAGGAGTCCGTCGAGAGTCAGCGCAGTGGGGTAAGCGGGAAACGTGAGAGTGAAATGCTGCAGGATGGGTGATCCAATCAGCGCCGGCAGAATGAGGCCCAGTCGCGGTTCCGCAAGCGAGGTAGTGGTCGACACGCGTTCAAGATTCGGCAGGCTCAGCGCTGGATGGATCAGCGGACCGTGATGCTCTGTTTGCTCAGCAGTTTCGACGAATTGAATTTCTTTGATCGTGGGGTGGTTCAACAGAAACGTGAACAGCGCAAAGGGATCTATAAAATTCGTCTCCAACGAAACGCGCTCCAGATGCGGCATGAACAAGCGGCCCAGCAGATCGCTCCACACTGCGCGATGGAAATCATGCGAGGTGAAGGTGATGGATCGGATGTTGCATGAATCATTGAACATCAGGAGCGAGAATCCGGCGGGAATTGGTCCCGGGACAGTCTGGACGACGTGGATGGTCACCGATTCGATGCAGTCGACGCGGCCCACAGGCGTGACTTTGCCGGAGTACAGCCGCACGTTCCTCGTCCCGTTTCTTTGGAATGGGCCCCAGAATCCGCCGGGTGTAGGCAACACTCCCAAAGACCTTCGTTTGCGGGACGACATGCTGGCGCTTCTGCTGCGCAGGGTTTCGGCCACCGCCAGTAGGGCCGGCGTCTCTAGCTTCCAGGAACGCAAGTCCCGCGCCCGGCAAGCGAGGAAGCTCGATTGGCTTTGGTCGAAGTACAGCATCGGGCCGTTCGCGCCTAATGCGATCGTCGCAGCAAAGCCGCACAGCGTTTCCACCGAACGCACGCAACGCGACACAAGATCCAGATCCGCAGTCTGCGCGTCGGCCAGGACAAGCGGATCGGAGGACGGCATGAAGAGCCGGACCTCGGTGAGGTGGGGACATCGCGCCACGACAGCCGGGATGCAGTCCAGCGACCGCGCCAGTGCGCCCGGGGCGAGTTGGAACGCAACTCGCGTGAGCCCGAACGAGCGCGGCGTCGAGACGAAGAAGACGCGCTGGAGTGCAGGACTCAGCTGTGCGCTCTCCCTCGTGAATATTTCCCTGTGCACCCGGCTTCTCCTCAGCAGAACGCGAATGCAGGCGGAGTTGAGCGCCTTTGCGGTGCGGGACAGTGCGAAGAGCCCTTCGTTGTCGACCGCGCGAATGATGACATTCCAGACTTCAGGAAGAGGTCTTTCGACGCGAGGCATGGATGGGGAGAGGAAAGGACGCTGCGCCGCCTGCAATAAGCATTCCGCTCAGGATGGATTACACGCGCGTGTGATCTTGGCGCAGTCACATAGCCTCGTCATCACGTGTCCCACAGCACAGAACAGCCACCACCGAGCAGTGATAATCGATCAATTCAGGGTAGGTAATGATCATTTCGAAGGTGGGTGTTGTGTTCTTCGATTCAGTCTATCAAGTCTCAAGTCTCAAGTCAGCCACTACCGAGCATTGATACCCTTGATTCAAGATAGTCTGGACCCGCGGTCTTCCCCAATGGATCCATCCTGCCTCGTTCTCATCAGCGGGCGCGATCGGGACAAAGTCAGGCGTATCGTCAAGGGCTTTGCAGTTGGTAATCTCGTTGGCAGCACTGATCCTCAATGTTCATTTACATCATAACTTTTTAGCATGTCCAAATGGCTATTCGAATGGTCGGTCTGTTACCTCTCGCTTCAGAAAGCTGTACCTCCCATGGTCGTCCCAGAACGGAGACGCTCCCGACCAAAGCCACGCCCGAGATCCCCGCATCCCTAAAAGCCCTGCGCAACAAAATCTTGCCGTGCTTCACATCCCGGTACTCACTGCCCATCCCCACCCGGCAACATGCCGAGCAGGGGAATCGCCGCACACGCGACCGACCGGCACAGACTGGCACATGAGGTGTACTTGGTGGATGTTGTGCAGCGCGGTGGCCACCGCATATATCTCGGGGTCGGCGGACCACATGTTCGTGGGATCCGAGGCCAGTCCGTTCACCGTCAGCTCCAGCGAAGCAGATGCCGGGCACGCTCGGATTGAGATAGCTTCGAAATCACGAAGCAGACCACTGATGGTTGCCAAGATAGGGGAGGCTCGGAAGCTGAACTGGAATCGAGACAGTTTCGGCGAGTCAATCAGGCAAGGCAGAAGTAGGCCCGTAACCGGCTTAGAAGTGGCTGATATATGTATTTACCGACTCTCGATTCGGTAGCGCCAGAGTCGGGTACAGTAGGATCTGCGCGTCAGAATCTCCTCGCGTGCATTCGAGGATGATGTGTCGAATCCTGAATGGTTCTGTGCAAGACGAAGGGATCAATTGTGTCGATGATGATAGATAGCCCTTGCAGTTCAGGCAGAACTAGCGACGGCAGAAAGTGGTTCCAGATATCAGTGGGGAGGACGGTGGATCCAAGGATCAAAGATTCAATGTGATGTGCGTTGGATGAGAGGACTGAAAATGAGCGTAGCGAGTGAGCGCCCTTCAGCACAACACGGATCGTCACACGCTCGATCATTCTGATCGATTCCATCACCTCGACGTCCCCCGTGTGCACACGCACAGTTGTGTGGCTGTTTCGTTGAAACGGGCCCCAGGGCGACCCCGGTAGGCAGGATCCCGAGAGAGTTGACGGAAATGATCACATCATTGGCGAGATCGGGCGTGTAGCGGGAACATCCCGTTACAGATGTCATGTGATTGTTTTCCTGACTGAGGTCCTCGATCGGCTGGCTTTGACCGCCGATCACCGTATATAAGTAGATACCTCCTGTGGGGGAACTTTTCCTTAGTCAATCTAGTGCTTATCCCTCTCACGGTCATCTCCCCCCTCCTCCTTGTATGGTGCACATGACCTAGTCACTGCCACTTTGTGACAGGTATGGAGGCCGGGAACTATATGCTGATAAACGGAGGACGTATCACTGATACGCGATAGTTTGCCGACATAGGATCAATTTCATGATGCGCTCCATGTCATGATGCGCTCTATCTGGACGGCTGAAAACGTTATACTAATGACCGATGTCTGAATCGTGGATGGCCGCTCGGCAGATATTGATCAGATGATTGACGCAATGATCAAGACCCCAGGTAGCCGACTATCGCAATATCGCAACATCGTAATATTCGAAAAGCGCAACATTCAAGATAGTGTAATATTCGAGATAGCGTAGTGAGCATGTAATTACTGTAATTCACTAATCATTTTCGCGGGAGTCTTCCTCATCCGAGAACCATGCGTACAGATCAGGACCAACAGCTTGCCGCAGCTGATTGATACGACACGCACCCGAGCGATCCGTTGGCCGAGAAGCCCTCTAGCAGCGGCGACTTGACACTCAAGTTGGTTTCCAGCATGTACCCCCACTCGCGCTCGATCAGATCAATTGCCCGCTCGCCCTTGCCGGCCACAAAATGCGCTTGGATCTGTCGCGCAGGTGACACGCAAACCACAAACCACCAGCGCAACACGCACCTCGAAGCCACGGCCTGATGGGCGTCCAGAACTTCATCAGCCCGGCGCTCACGGCCTTGTTCTGTGCGTCCGATGTCGTGAGGTTGTACAGGACCGCGAGCGCGTTGCCGTCCTGCGGGTGGATGCTCCTCGGCAGGTCGTTGCTGCGGAACCGGCCCGCCGCGGCGTCCCACAGCAGGCTGTTGAACGCAGTTTTGATCTTGGTCGCGTTGGCGAGGTATGTGGCGGGGAGGGAGACATTGCCGAGATGCGTCGCCAGGTCCGCCGTGGTGACGAGCGTCTACGAGCTTGATGAGCGCGGATACATGATGCGAGAGACAGAAATCAATCCTCACGCGATAAAGCAACGCGTTTGCCGCAGAGTTGTGTCCGGCGCCGCTGGCCCTGCCCCAGTCGTTCGAGAGCGCAGACGAGACGTTCATCAGGCCGGTCAAGTCCACCTGGCCCTCAAGGAAGCCAACCGCCTTGGTGTAGTTCGCCCAGACAGACTTGATGAAATCGAGGTCGCCCGTGTACAGGAAGTAGTTGTGCGTCCCAATGAGCGACCACGAGATGTACGTGTCGCTTCCCTGGTTGTTCAGCGGCGGCCCGGAGTACTGCAGCGCGCCAGTCGTCAGGTTTTGCGTGCGGAACATCACCATCAACGAGTTCTTGGTCGGCTCCATGTCGCTCAGCGCGACGAGCTCCGTGTGTGTGGAGATGCCGCAGTCGCCTGATCCGTCGCATGAGTCCGAGGGTTAGATCGCGTCCATGAGCATGAGGGGTTACCTGGCCAGATGTTCCTGACAGTACCAATGTCATCAGCAGGGATTGCACACACAGATCGCGACCGACCATTCCTCACCTGTCGCGTTTTGCACCATCGACGAGGATAGGCCCAGTGGCAGCTCCTCCCAAGGCATCGTTGGACCAGCCACCTACAAATGTGATCGCACAGTTTGAGTCCAAAATTCAGATCCACGCCGACACGAACCTCCTGCTGGGCACGGCTCCTGTCGCGCCGTGTGGGGAGGGATTGTGTTGGTCTGCACCCTATAGTGCCTGCTAGCGGTCAGCCCCCACCCACGCCACGCTCTGCCACATCAGCCAGCAAACAGGCGATGACGCACCGGCGTACCAGATCTTCGTGAGGCAGTCGATGTCGTGGAACCCGGGGTCAGGTGCAAAGAAGTAGCCCGGGTACGCCCTGAGATCATCCCAGTGGGGCATGAACGTGATCGCCAGCGAGATGTTCGAGATCGTCAGCGGGTCCGCGCTCGCACTCACAATCGTCAGGAAGCGGAACCCGCCGCGCTGCTGTCCCACGGTCTGCGTCAGCAGCCCCGTGGCTCGCGGCACGTGGAACGTCTGGATTCTGTCCCAGTTCTGCAGCCGTGCGGGCTGGCACGAGTCGTCCAACTTGAGCGGGCTGATGAACTCCGCGGACTCGGTGAACGACAGTGAGAACTGCGACTGGGCCGTCGCGTTGTTGATCGTCAGCGACAGGATCCCCCCAAGCTACAGTATGGGTGTGTGAATTGACCCTCGACGGCGCTGTATCAGGGAGGCCGCGCACCTCCTTCCCCAGTCGAACACGACGTACGAACCGCTGCCCTGGAATGTCGCCTGGGAGTCCGGACTTGCGACGAGCCTGCTCGCGCCGGCGACCCGGCCGCTGATCCTATCTCGAATGTTGCGCTTTTCGAATATTACGATGTTGCGATATTGCGATAGTCGGCTACCTGGGGTCTTGATCATTGCGTCAATCATCTGATCAATATCTGCCGAGCGGCCATCCACGATTCAGACATCGGTTATTAGTATAACGTTTTCAGCCGTCCAGATAGGCGCATCATGACATGGAGCGCATCATGAAATTGATCCTATGTCGGCAAACTATCGCGTATCAGTGATACGTCCTCCGTTTATCAGCATATAGTTCCCGGCCTCCATAGACAGGACCGGAATCGGGCCTTGATTTTGACCTTGAGGAAACCCTAACCCCAAATGTCCGGGCCAAGTGCCGGACTTATGTGTACACATCTTTTCTGCATTACCATCATCCATGGCAAAAGGAAAGAAGGCTCAGAAACTCAAGAGAAGAGGGTGAAGGAGTTCTCTTCTCATAAATATAAGTCTCATAGACATGTCCCTGAGACGCTTGCAGCTCAATTCGATGCATAGCAGTAGACACGTGATCAATCATGTGACACAACCGGAATCGATCGAGGTTTCCATCACATAACTCTGTCAGTTTTGAGTCAATGGATAATCTGTCTTAAGGTTCTATTCTACATCTAAAACTAAGCCTTTCTGTAAGACAACTAAGAAAAATCTCTTCACAAAAAAAAGTTCACACACTATACAAAAGTGGTAATGACTAGGTCATGTGCACCATAGCGGAACTCGTCTCGGTCTAGACGCTTCCGTTACATATTTTTGAGAGCTCCACCTGCTCACCTCAGTTACCACCGCCATCACCCGGTTGCACCCCTGCGGGGGTCCTACTGGGTACCCTCAGACGTAGCTCTGAGGGTACCCAACAGGTACCCCCCTGCGGGGCCCGCGGGGGGGTTTTGGCCCATTTGGGGCAGGGGCATATGCGGGGATCAGCAGGGGGGGTGCAGGGGGGGGTCTGTACATATCATGTGATTTATCATTGGGAGCGGGCAGGTGGGCGCGAAAAAAAAAAATGAATCACATGACACATCCAATGGGCGGGATGGCGGCCGATGGCGGGGTAAAAAAATCACGTGATGCACCGCATGAAAATTATCAAAGATGGCTAGCAGCGGTTGGCGGGGGTTGGCGGGGGGCGCTACTGTCCCCCCGCACACCATGGCGGGCAGTGGGCGCATTATCACGTGACTTTTGGGGGGCACCTTTTGTGCACCATTCAGCATGATTTCGAAGGTGTTGCCTGATCCATTGCATGCTGTGGCAGACAATGGGCGCATAATCACGTGATCTTCCGCCCAAAAAAATGGAAGCCTTCCCAAATCATCCTGGTATCATTTCTATAGGTAAATACACTAGTTAAGCATGAATTTGAGCTTGGAAAGCCCAAAATGCACCCTGCACAATGGGACTGGTGATGCACTTGATCCCATCATTTGGCGGGGTCTGCTGCGGGGGGTGCCATGGGGGGTGCTGCGGGGGGTGCCGCAGGGGGTGCCGCAGGGGGTGCCACAGGGGGTGCCGCGGGGCCCGCTGTGGGGTCAACCACAGGAGCAGGGTTAGGGGTGCATTGCATTATATTTTGATCTATCTATTCTCGCTGTGGTCATAGCATGCAGCATAATTATCCTTCATTTTGCCAGGAGTTTGGAGGCTGTGTCTGGGGGTGGTCTGCACCTACAGCCGTGTGACTCACTGATGCTTCGGCAGGGGCTGGGATATCAAAACTGTGCAATATTTTCTGCAGAATCCAGGCATGTAGGGTTAAAAAGAAAGTGTGATTTGTTCATTTTTTGGCTGGCAGGGGAGGTGGGCTGACATCATGGGCTGCATCAGGTCCACTGTCAACTCATTGATTGTTTTGTCTGCTCATTCCATATACATGCCCATTGGTAAGCTGATCATGCTGTAGGCACAGTCTAATCTTACCCTGTGGATGATACCACACATTAATTACATACCTAATGTCACACTTCCTGTCTGGGACTCATTGAAGTTCATCTGTTCTGTGTTACTTTACAAGCAGTTTGCTTTAGTTGCAACATGAACAGATGTAATAGAGTGGATTTGACATGCCCTGAATTGATTCCTAGGTGGAATATGAGACAATGGATTCACCAGCAAGTTGTCTCACAATAGTCAGAGATTGGTAATATTTGAATTTCAAATTTCATATACAACACTCTGTGCACTCAGAGCTCGTATATTTGCAAGATAGACTGTAGAGACATAGATGGTTACTTTTACTACCTCTGGGGCTGCACACATCCTCGCCATGACCCACTGCCTGCACCCCCGCTGGCACCCCCTGTGGCACCCCCGCTGGCACCCCCGCTGGCACCCCCGCTGGCACCCCCGCTGGCACCCCCGCTGGCACCCCCGCCAGTCTAGCACCCCCCGCCGCACCGGTGCCTTGCTCCTGTGATTTTCTTATATGGAAGATTATGTAAACTGACAGCTCGGAACACGTCAAG